CAGACTGTCGTCTGTCAGCAGCTACTTGGGTTCTGGCTGTGGAGATCACCAAAGGAAAGAATGACTGCAGCTTTCACAGAGTACTAGACAAATTCATGGTGAAAACACCTTCAAAAGGGATGCTCTGCAGACATTTCAGTCATCCTGTGGAAAGCAGTTGCCACAATAAGGCCTGGTCATGACAGCATGCACAATAGTCGTGGTGTGGTAACCTGTGCAACAATTGCTGTCAACTGAGAATTGGGATTTTTCTATCCAGTTGTCACTATGCTGTGTTTAAGAGCATGTAGGAAGCTGGCACCATCAGAGGTCACTGTATAAAGTTTGACTGCATGTCTTTGAAAGAGGATGAGCAGTGCAATAGGTTGTAGCTTTCCAAACTACTTAAGCATGGTTGTGTTGCTGACATACCATATGTGTGTATTTGTCACCAATCTGGAGGGTTAGAAAGTCCACAAGATAAGTAAGAATTTGTAAAGTCTTGAATGTCACAAGAACATTGGCGGAGTCATACACTGTGACTAAAAAAAAAATATAAGAAAATTGGCAACATTAAAATTGTAAAGCAGCCCTTGAAGATTGGGTAACCTATAAACAAACAAGCAAAAAGCATTCCTACTGTGAAGCAGAAGACTTAAGCCCTTTGTGACACTTGGTTAATTCTCTTTAGGGGTTTTTTCATGAAACAACAGCTGATGCTGTTTTGAGAAGTGTTATTGAAGCTTTAACAATGTGAAGATTTTTCATACAGGACAGAATACAAAAGGCATTCTTGAGACAGTTCCAAAATACACAGCAGAGATTGAGAGTTAAACAGCACTGTGGTTAGGTACTCACCCAGTTTAAAACAAAAAAAAAAGAAAAGTGGGGGAGGACTTTCCTATTGCGTTTATTTGTATTTTAAGTAGTAGAAATTCAGAAGTTGAAAACACTTAAATTTTATTTTGGTTTTCTATCAAGGAACACAGAATCTGAAGACTGTGGAGGATATTTTTGTTCTTAGATCTCTATCCTGTGTTTGGTTATGAAGATTTTCTCTTTTTTGGAATGAGTTCTAAGCATCTAAAAAACTCTAAAAATGTCCATTTGAGATGGAGATAAAGATATTCAGAATTGGTTTTCTGGGTACAGCACAGCTCAAAATGCTTGGCCTGGGAAACTGCAGTTCTGTGGACTTCTGATCTTTGCATACCTACATAATTACATTCATTTGTAGAGTTGAAGACTTTTGGGCTTTTGCTTTTGTGGTTGTGTTTCTGTAGCGTGTTAAATGAGTTCTGAATGTTTATAACACAAGGGTTTTTTGCATGCAGATTATTATGATTCTTGAAGTATTGTATGAATGAAATTATACATCATTAATAAAATCTGTCCTTCTCTATGACAATGAAATGAACATTTAAGCTTGGCATATTTTGTGATGTCTTAATAAAAACTAAAATAAAAACTATAGCATTAAAGTTCATTGAAGTTAAGAATACATTTTTCCTTTTGTTTTAAATCACTGAGCAGAAAGAAAATATGTTATGCTGATCCTTTGTGTATTTTTCTCCCTTCTTAAATCATACATTGTCATGTTCCAATGAGTGTGTTATAAACAGTAATGGACGTAGGTGTCCCAGGGAGTGCAGCAGCAGAGGATCCTTACTAATGCTGGCCTAAAACAAACCTCAAGTGTCCCCAAGGGACACCTTTTAGGCAATAGAGTTTGTTTGGGTGTGACCTCCCTTGTCTGTCAATATGACAACATTTTGAAAGTAGCATCTCAATGGAAGATAGAGTTTTGATACTTTACATTTATTGCTGATAAATTGGAAAGTATAAACTTCTTTAAGCTGTCAGTAAGACTTTGACTGGAAAGCAGAAATGCATTTCCTAGCACTGTATTAAAGGCAATAGCTTGTAGAAATCCCCTCCCAGTATTCTATTCTGTAATAATTTTTCCTAATCTAGGGCTACACAGTGACAATCAAATGGACTTTTGCTAACCTTCTGACTCGTACTCTGCTCATCCCGTAGCATTTTTGCTATCGGAGGTAGGAAAATTGTAACCTAAATATTTAGACTAAGGTTTTAAGTTCTCACTCTGTGTTAATGTGTGTGCTGAGTTGTGATGTATAGTTAGATCCCAGTCCTTGCACACTGGATGAGTAGAAGCATTTTGGAGAGCTGTTTCAGAACAGTCCTGAGAATATAATACTGATAAACATGTCAGCTGAAGAAATATCATGTGATAGCTGCCCATTACAAACTTCCCTGGCTGTAAAAACTTCTTATGGCCTAAGAATTGGGAGCAAATGGAACAGTTCTGTTTGAACAAGTTTTGATGGTCTTTGCATGTGGAATTCTTTTGCATTCTATATCAATTGCATCTCCTTTCTGCCATTTTCTTCCAACACTTATTTAATCTGAGAAATATTATATTATTTTCCTGCTAGTCACTGGTCCCTTCAGAACAAGTGAACATAGTAAAACAGTGTTAACAGAGCTGTGGGATCAGTAAGTGAGCTAAGGATAATGCCTATGAGATATGATGTCAGAGATGGTAATAAAATAAAAAATATTTATATATATGTACAGTGAAACTCATTGAAAGCCTGGACATCATCCACAGAACTACTTCAGTGAAAAAAATTATGTTGCAAATACTGGCAATGCTTCTTTAGTAACAATTCTTATTCCTCCTCTTCCATGTATCAGTTTAGTGCATCTATTTGCAAAATTCTGTTCCTTTTCTGCTTGCTTAGTTGATGCATGGCTAATATTTTTAGGATGATGGTGACAGGGTTATGACAGTTTACAACCAAATAACTGTGAAGGCTAAATTAACTTGGATACTAAAGCCCTCTAATCACCCATGTGATTTTGCAACTTCCATGTTTGGCAGAAAATGAGATAGACTCTAGAAGAATAGTCACGAGAGCTAGTGTTGTGGTTCCAACTCTGCTGCATGTGGTCCTTGTTCCAAATTGTGAGGTTCCCTGGGTTCTTTCCCCTTTTCCTCTGGATGCTGTCAGATATAGGAGTAGGTAATAGAGACTGTTATTCTCATTTGGCATGTTCTGGTTTACTCATGGCCAAATAATTGGTTGTTGTCATCACTGGTGCACACAATCTGCCTCTCAAAGTTCTGGAAGTGTACTTCCTAGAATTTCCATAAATAAGCTAGAAAAATGTGATCTCTGAATCTGGAGGAGAAAAGTAATTGCCCATGTTATGAATAGAATTAAAAGCTTTATTCTTCTGCTGACTGGGGGGGTGGGAGGGGGTGTAGAGGCATCAAAGCCTGAGTACTAGAAGCTGGAGAAGAAAAATGAGATTAACATGTGGAGAATTGTGTGCTATAGGTTGGTGTTTGGCTTTTTTGATTCTGCTGAAGTTGTTAGTGTGAGTTCAGTATCCTTTGCTCCTTTTTTTCCTATGGATTTATGTGCCCTTTGCTTTCAGTACTATCTGGGGCTGCAACAAAAGCTAGGTTGAAGGAGAAGTGATTCCACTTCCTTTTGGACATAAGATTTGCAGGATGACTGGTTAATTGAAGGTTGGAGTTTAGCCTGTATGTACTGTATATAGACACATACTGGAAACAGCTGAATGAGAGGGAAAAAATTTACCTGAGTGGCAAGTGAGTTTTGCTCTCATTATTTGTTTGGTGATGGTTCCTGTTTGTCATGCAACACCTTGTTCAGTGTTGATAAACTCTCTCTGAGAGAAGGAGGCAATTTCAGGTACTGGTTGGGTGGAGACAGAATTTCTTATATCTTCCTAAGGCAAGCAAATAAATCATGTGAGTTAAAGTTACGTTTACTGTCATTTTTAAGGTAATTCGGATAATTCCAATTTATAGATAGGCATGCATACTGTAAAACATCATTACTAGTCTCTTTGTATATATGCTTTTACTGTCTCAGAAGAGGGCCAGTCTATATTTGGTTGTTCTGAGATTAACCTTTTTTAATGGGGTTTTCATTCAAAGGCAAGGAAGTATCTATCAGGAAAAAAATTGCTGAAAGTGCACCAAATCTCTTTATCTCACCTCCCTCCCCATCCCAAAGTGTTTTAGTTTACCATAAAACTGTTCTTCAAGGTATTTTTCATAAAATTCAGACAGATTAGGGTTGAATTCTGTTTAAATTCCAACATTAGCCGATGTGGTTCTCTCTTCTTAGAGTCCTTGGCTTATTTCAAAGAATCATAGAATGACCTGGTTCAGAAGAGACCTTAAAGATCATCGAGTTCCAACCCCCCTGCTGTGGGCAGGGACACCTTTCACTAGACCAGGTTGCTCAAAGTTCCATCCAGCCTGGCCTTGGACACTCCCAGGGTTGGGGCATCCACAGCTCCTCTGGGCAACCTGTTCCAGTGCCTCACCAGCCTCACAGTAAATAATGTCTTCCTAATACATAATCTAAACCTGCTCTTTCAGTTTGAAGCCATTCTCCCTTGTCATTCCTCTATATGCTCTTGTAAATAATGTCTCTCCATTCATCATAAAGCTTTCTGGGATTCTATCAGGTTTGATCACCTCAGTAGAGAATGTAAATTATAGTAATTGAGAAGCCAGTAGGAGAGGCATGATGGGGTTTCTTAAGTCCTGCTGAATGAGTTGTCCAGATAATAATGTAAAAGTGCAGTATTTCTGTTACCATTTAGAACAGTATTCAGTGGTTTGGATTCAAATGCTTATACATAAAATGAATGTTATAAATACTTAACCTGAAGAAATGGGTGCCTTTTGTGCTGTTTTTTCCTTATTTTGGTTTATTGTGCATAGTAAATTGCTGAAGTTTGAATATGCAACTATTTGTTAAGGATCTGTCATGTAATCTGTTGATTTTTCTCTGTTGCAAGGATAGCTTTATCTTAATACATCTGAAAACTTAACATTTAAATTACATGACAAGTTTTGATTGTAATTTAAATCTCTGTCAGATTTTGTTTATATCTCAAGAGTGACAGATTGAATGAGGTTGATTGTTGTTTTCATTTGGTTTTTTTAGACATTATTTGATAATCAGATGAATGCTGCAAAAAAGGAAGACTCAGAAAGCATTAATAAAAATGACACTTCAAAGAAGATGTCTGTTGAGAGAGTTTATCAGAAAAAGACTCAGCTTGAGCACATCCTCCTCCGTCCAGATACCTACATTGGGTCAGTTGAACCCTTAACTCAGGTAAATGTCACTAAATTTACAGTCTTAATGGTTTTTCTTGCTTCAATGGGGAGATGTCTCTTCTGGTTATTAAATAGGTACATCTCTGTTTTTCTCAATTTTCTGAATTAGAAGGTCAAAAGCAGTGGTCTTGTTTATGTATGCATGTGTAGGAAGGGGATAAGACTTGCTTTAAGGCGTTGAGTGCTTGGTTCATCTGAAAAGAGATGATCAAAAAATACTGAAATCCAGTCAAAATACAAACACTCACCTGTGTGTGTCAGCAGACAGCTATGTGTGTACAGGTCTGTACTCACAAATGCCTATGAGCACACAAATATGTATGTATATATTTATGAGTAGCATTTGTACTAAGTGCAAAAATGCTTTGGTGTCTTGGTTTAGGTAGAGAACAGAGAATTTAAGCCTCCTGCTGGCACTTTCTTCATTTGTTTGTGTGAAGTTCTAAATTGCTTTGAACTTCACTGTCTGTACTGTTGGGAGTTCCCTGCCAAGCAGAAAAATAATGGATTTTCATTATGAAATTCTTTGTGGGTACAGCTATAACTTCTGCAGACTTCTGCTTTTGTCTTGTAGGACTGCAGTAATCAGATTGTAAGAGGAAAGTTCCTGAAGGAAATAGATCTTAGAGAATCGCAGACTTGTTTTCCAAGATAGTAAATACTTTTATTTTATTTTGTTTCCATGTAGTTAATGTGGGTTTATGATGAAGATGTAGGAATGAATTGCAGAGAAGTAACCTTTGTTCCAGGATTGTACAAGATCTTTGATGAAATTCTTGGTAAGTATTTTTAGCAATAATAGTGCCTTAGCATTGTGGAGTATCATCTTATCTGAGTGCTCTCAAAGTACATAAACTTGTATATATCAAATTTAAATCCCAGACTTGAATCCTGTTGAACTATAGGGCATAAAATTTGAGTGCATTCTAGAACTATAGAACAGTTTAAAAGGGAAGAGTTTTCAGCTGAACTTGTAAGAAAATGTAAATATTTGTTACTGCATGTCCAAACTAGATCATTCTTTATGATCAATACTGCTACAAGATTTTTAATCCGTGAAATGTTTTTAGGGCTACTATTTAAAGTGACATTTGAAAGAAGATTATTCCTCCAAAAGAATGCAACTTCTGAGTTGTCTGAGTGTTCACTTAGATCATCCTTTCATCAATCATTAAAACTTCTTCTGTACAGAAGGATAGTAGTGGTAGTTTTCATGGATCATTTCTAGATTTCATACTGTTTTAAAACAAATGAGTATCATTCTGCCATTAAAAAGCACTATGACTGAGGCACAAAAAAATTATTTTTAGAAAATTTTGTCAAAATTCTGAGTTACTGTGATTTGCTGGTTGGTGATATTCTGTTGATGACAGGCAGACACGAATCAGTAGTAGAGATGTGGAATATATGAATACTGTGCTGTCTTCTGAACTGATATTTTGGCCTAATTGACATGAAATCTTGGACTTACCAGCTTTTATGAAGTTCTTTTTAAAGGATTGGTAGGATTACCTCATAAATTAAGTTATGGTCTACAGAGGTCAGTTTTGTTGTGACCTTCATTAGGTTCACAACTTTTCCACATCTCTAAAATTGCTTTACAGCATTGCTGTCTTTGAGGTGATGTATCTTAACCATATGGAAAATAATGCTTAATATTTTTAATATTATTTTTAACTTATTACTTAATTTGATAAACAAGGGAATGAAAACCTTTAATCTCTTCTGTTTTGAGTGCTGCCTCATAGATCTTAAGTTTTTTGGCTTTTCATGTTAGGAAGACCACTTCCATATTGTCCCATTCAGAAGGAAGATCAGTAGTCTGTCATTACTGTAGTACTTCACAGGTTATTGCTGCTTTATGAAGCGCTGATAAGTTTTCCAGTGAGTGGGGTTTGAGAGCTAGGGGACAGTGTAGTAATATTATGAAAGTGGGACATTTTAGCTATGCATGATTTTGAATGAAACTGCACTTCATGATTTTAGCAAAAGCACCTTGAAATAGCTGGTCTTATACTGAGGTCCTTGTCAGCTGTTAAGATATATTGTACTTTGGGGTTTTACTTCATCTGTTTCATGGATGATGAGACAGAAACTGAGAATGACTGTATTGTGTTTTCTTATTTAGTGGCCACTGTCACATTTCTGCTTCCTGTAGTTCATATACATGGCAATGCAGTTTAATTAAATTCTGATCTAAAGTGTTAATTGCTAGTTATCCTTGTTTTGATCCTAAACTGTGTAGACTGTGAGTCGCAAGTCTTGCAGGATCTTTAGAGAGAACTTGTGCTGCAGTCAAAACACTCAGCAATGGATGTGAGTTTTTTGGTGTGTTTCAATGTGTAAACTCATCAGGTGATGCATATAGGTTTCTAGGGTTTTTCATGTACATGCTGCATATTCAAACAAGTGAATATCCAAACAAGAACAAGAGAAGAATGAAGTGCTCAGTATGTTAAGAACAGTTATGAGCTCACAAAATACACTTCTATATTTATTTCTGAGATAGTCTAACTGCTAGAAATAGAATCAGTAATTATAAGAAGGTTGAAAAATATTTTCTTGTAGATACTTAGCTGTATTTATAGACTCCAGTTCTAAGATATGAAATATATACAAAGGGATTAAGAAAGACCTGGACTATTGTAACTGGTAGTAGAATATTTATAAAATCAGTTTTACAGACCAAGAGATTAATAATTGCCTATGAAGTGTTAATTTGTGCTTCTTTGTTTCATAGTAAATGCTGCTGACAATAAGCAGAGGGACAAGAATATGACTTGTATTAAAATATCCATTGATCCGTAAGTAAAAGCATGCTTTCATTTACTTTCCCTGCCTGTGCTATTGCAGTTTAGATTTGTACAAATGATTTTACTAATGAAATTGGATTTCTTAAAAAGAGAATGTTTTTGGAATTGTTTCTGTTAGCTTCATATTTTAAGATGAAGTGGTGAATTAAAAGTGCTACCATTCTGAATTTATAATAATTGCTTTCCTTAACCATTTGTTAAGGTTTGAATGAAACTTAAAACCAGAAGTCCATAAAATTTATGTTAAATTTAAATTGGCAGTGCATAACTATAACCAGACAGGTTCTTTGCAAATCTAAAATACCAGGTTTGAGGTTTTGTAACACAGTTTTACCACTCTTGAACTTTGGTGTTAACTCCTTCAGCATTAGGATAAGACCGTTTGAATTAGTCATTTATATCACACTGAAACTTCATATTGCAAATACATCATTACCATGTTTTTTGAAACTGAATACTTGAAGAGATAAATTTAAGTGAGAAGTACTGTATTTAAGTAGATACTGATTGGGTTCCTTTAGTAGAACTTTTTCAGTGACATTTAGCTGAATAATAAATTTCTTAGAAAGCTAGTTTTCAGACCTAACCTTTAGGATAAATATGCTGAGAAGCGATTTTTCTGCTTTCATCATGGTGTGGGAGGGAAATTGTAAATGTGTAAGTTTGCCTGACCTGTCCTGATTTTGAACTCTCTAATACTCAAAAACAAAAATTCTGTGTAAGAGCTAGAAATATTAATGATGCCAGATATTGATGGATTTTGGCACTGATACATAAAATAAATCACAATATTTATCATAACTCAGAAATAACTCTTTCAAACAGATGATAACTTGTCTGGATGGACTTCAATGAAACCTTAAAAGCTGTATCTCTAACTTGAGTTTAATTCTGTCACTGTCAGTATCCTGTTGCAGTTCAGATTGACAGTGAAAGCTCTTCTAACAGATTTTTGGGGGTTATTGTTGTATGAAATACTGTCATGTATGGACAATTTAAGCTCCTTCTTCCAAGACATCTAATAAGCAAAAATAAGTGGAGTTTTTTGTAATTAAGATTGTTAGAGCTCTAAGTAAATGTGGTAGGAATATGGTCTTTTGATATATTTTTATGTAGTTATTTTATTTACTGTGTTTAAACAGGTATGCTGAAGTGTGTTTTCAAGATTGCATTCATTTGCTTAATGTCTTCAATATTTTTTAGGGAATCGAACATTATCAGCATATGGAATAATGGAAAGGGGATACCAGTTGTGGAACACAAAGTAGAAAAAGTATACGTACCTGCTTTAATCTTTGGGCAGCTACTAACGTCCAGCAACTATGATGATGATGAGAAAAAAGTTACAGGCAAGGCTATTTAATGTACTTTGTTTTATTCAGTTAAGCCATTGTGTGCCCCTTCAGTATGCTTCCCCTTCTTGATTTTTCTCTTTCTTTTCTATTTCATAGCAGATGATTACTCAGTCACTATTACTATAGCTCTTTGTTAGAGTAAAAAGATGTAAAGGAAATATCTTACTCTTCTGTTTTTAATAGCAGTGTTTACAGAGAACTTTACATTTACATCTCTAATGTCAGTAGTCATTATTGAGCAATAAACAGCATACTTCTATGTTTTAATTGTAATATATATTTGTATTTAAACACTTCTGCTCCTAAAATGCAGGGAAAAATAAATTTGATAAATCAGAATATGTTTTATTATCCTAAATTTAAACTGACCCTAATTTACTATATATTGTTTTTTTCAGGTGGACGCAATGGCTATGGTGCAAAACTTTGTAACATATTTAGTACAAAGTTTACAGTTGAAACTGCTTGCAAGGAGTACAAACACAGCTTTAAGCAGGTATAGAAATGTTCAAAACTTATTTTTTCTTTTTTTAGTTATAGGTCTAAAATCTGACACATATATTATAGGAGTATTTAATAAAATGGATAATTTCTCATTCAAAGGGATGTGCAGTTTGCAGGCTAGGTTAGTTCAGTTGGTAAAAATTGGTATTTCTATATTTTAGGCTTTTTGGGTAAAATAATACTTTCTTTGGAGTGTTTGGTGACTAAAAACTGCCAAATTTCTGTTAAATATGAAGTATATTAATGTACCTGTGAAAAGGAATATATTCTGTTGAAACATTTTGAAATTGCTGTTGTATGATTTGTCAAATGAATCTTTCTACTTAGCTATACAAACATGGAAACAATTATCTGTGTAATTTTGTATGGTGTTAAGAAACAGATTTTTTAGTTTCTGTGTCATGAATTTAACTAGCCCCATGTGGACTTAAGTGAAAATGCCCCACATGAACCCATTGCTCATTGTTAGCATACAGGCCAAGAATGTGATCAGCTCTACTGTATATAGCTTTGAAATGGCCACCTTTCTAAAAGTTTAAAGTAGTTTGGCAGATAAATAGATACCAAAGTTACGTGGCTTTACAGTCTTTCCCAGCTAGGAGCTTTCTTCTCGTACTTTCTGGACAATTAATTAATTTCTGGTCATGCTGTCATATCAATACATAAATAATACACTTAATTTGTTATGCCTGTCTCTTAAAAAATGTAATATTTTATTGCTGACTGCCAAAGGGCAAATTAATATTGGTTCAAATGTACTTTTTGGAAATGACTAAATGCTTTATGGCTTAAAGTGCTATGTTTGTCAAAATCTGTGAGAATTTATTAAAACTGGACTTCGATATATGCTGTGAGCAGATGTTCTGCTTGATCATGCAGATGTGCCCATGTTCTTAAAGACGGAACGATACAAGACTCCTGAGTCAAATATGAACACCTTGGGTTTGTTTTTTTTTTTTGGGCACACTTTACAGCCATCAAGATGCTGGGTCTCTGCACAGGGACTAAAAAGCCTCTCTGTTGAGGTGTGTAGTAGATTGAAAGTGTTAAGCGGATGGGTAACAAAGACTGTAATCCCAGCAAATTTGTATCTAATTTAGTAAATTCTGTGGGAGTCCCCATTTGCATTAGAATCATGTCCATCAATGTAATAATACCTGCCTGTTTCCAGAAACCACAAATATGCTGTCACCTATGCTCGTGAATACTTTTGTAAATCAGTTAACTTTGTGTAGTGTTTTACCAGGGGAAATTTCTAAAGGAAGTTTGTGAGCTTTTTGTTGTGTAACTGTTGCAATCCCAGCGTAGCTAGAAAAGGGAATAAAGGAGGGTAAGGTGTTGTAAACTAACATCTAAAATGTTTTGTTTCCAAAGACTTGGATGAACAACATGATGAAGACCTCTGAACCCAAGATCAAGCATTTTGAAGGTGATGACTACACATGCATTACATTCCAGCCAGATCTGTCTAAATTTAAGATGGAAAAGCTTGATAAGGATATTGTGGCCCTGATGACAAGACGAGCATATGATTTGGCTGGGTCATGCAAAGGAGTCAAAGTCATGTTGAATGGGAAGAAACTACCTGTAAGAACATCACTTGATATGTCTTGGCTGTACTGAGTATTTGGTGCAGAGGGTAGTGACTGTTACCTTTACTTGTAGGTAAATGGATTTCGCAGTTACGTAGATCTTTACGTAAAGGACAAGCTGGATGAAACTGGAGTCGCGCTCAAAGTCATCCACGAAGTCGTGAATGAACGATGGGATGTGTGCCTCACTCTGAGTGAAAAAGGGTTCCAGCAGATCAGCTTTGTAAATAGTATAGCTACCACAAAGGTGAGTGGTTAGATCAAATGGTACAAAATGGAAATGATAAAATGTTTGCTGAGGCTATACCCAGTCAGGTGTTTGATAAGAAAGTGAATCTGGGTTGCTATAAATAAATAGGTGAGGTAATCCTCTGCATGAGAGGAGCTGGCAGAGCAATTGGATGCAATCAAAATACATTCATAGCAGTATTTCTACATAAGCACTACTTTTGAAAGTGCTAGTAGTCATTATTGGTGATACTGATGTCTTATGTGAGCATGGTGTTGAAGACAATGGAACTAATTTATTTCTTCCTTTTTTACACATTGTAATAAGATAATTCTGAAAGTAAGGTTAGAAAGTGTACAAACGCCTTTAAAGCTACCAGTAGCAAGTTTTGGAGGAGAAAAATGGCTTTTGGTGTCCTTGAGCATTAAATGCTCTGTCCATGAAGCATTAAATGGCTGAAAAAATTGGCCTGAAGTGTTGAGATTAATTTTCATTTCTTTTGGTATCTTGTAAGGATATCTGGGTTTTCTTTGCAGCTATAGTAATAGTAGTGATAAAATAACAAAGCTTTTTATACTAAAGCAGCAGTGTGCTCAGCATACTAAATAACGTACAGCTTGGTGCTTCTCAGCTTGTGGGGATGGTCAGGCAGGAAGGGGACCACCTGAAATCAACCAGCATAACTCTTATTTTTTTGGCATGAATCAGGTTTAGAGATCTGTGGTCCACCATGGTGAAAAAGTGTTTGTCACTTCTGCTCTTCACAAATTGAACTGGATGAGTGACCTAAGAACTAGGTAGTTAAGTTGTTAGCTCTTACTAAACACTATAGTTATTAGAGGTAGCAGATCTAACAAGTTGGAATTAACAAGACTAGAACCAGCAGTCCCAGTAACTGGTGATACTTTTCTAGAGAATCTTAACTATGAGCTTTCCAAAAGATGGGAAAAATAAGAATTGGTAATCAGACACTTTGAAACCTCTCCTTGCTCAGATCTCTGTTGAAAGAGTCAGAAGAAACTTTTAATGGTAGCACAAATGGTTCATAAGCATTGGTGGCTACACTTCAGTCTAGCAGGTACCCAGAAATGTCAATGTTAATCTTGGTGGTAGGTGATGTCTAACTAGTGTTTGGTGAGACATAATTTTTGTTACATAACTTCTTTTCAGTTGCTCTTAGTGTAGCTGGACAAATGTTCTGTGGTAACAGGGCAAGGTTATTTCATTGTAGAATATTTACTTTTTAAGTGTGCATTGCAATTAAAAACTTTGTCAGAACTAGAGATGACAAATCAGGTAGTAGAAGGGTTACAACTTTGTTTTAGTTCAGGCCTCGTTGTGCAGCATAAAGAAGAAAAATAACATGACCTTAAAGACGTGTACAATACTTTTATGAAGAAACTGGCAACGTAGGGAAACTTCATTATGGTTGATACCAGGCTAAAAAAAATTGTTTGAAAAAACTGAATACTTCCTGATTCCTAAGTATAATGAATTGCATACACTTACTCCAAAGATTTTGACTTTTACTCTTCTGGATCAGTTTTCACCATCATGCAGTTACACATAGCTTGTTATTATATATTCTTTTGAAATATGCATAGGAAAAAGTTCTGTGTATTCTTCAAAAGTAAGTGTTGTAATTTCTAGTTTTCCCCACTCTCTAAATCCATGCTTTATATTTGTTACTGGGTGTGGGATATTTGGGCAGTGAACCCCCTCACCAGGAATTGCTGAATAGCTACCCACTGATGGGACATAATGGGTAGTATAACTGCATTGGCTCTTATCTGCTAACAGGTAAGGAGCTCATTCTAGCTGTTAATTACCATTGTTTGGTGAGAGCTTTTTGTTTCTGCATCTGGGTAAATTTCACCCAGCCAGTAACTTTCCCCCACCTTATTTAAACTTGCTATAAATTCCAAGTAAGTTTTTTTTAGGTTGCTGATGTGGTGTTTTTTGAGGGCTGTCTGGGAGGTCAAGCAGTATGTTGAAGTATAACTCCTCTGTTTAGTTCTTGTAAATTCGTTACCCTTTTCAGCACCCCATTTAAACAAAATTTTGCCATAGCAGACCACCACAAGATTTGACTTCAGGCTCTGATACAGCATTGAAAGAATGTTTGTAGCTATTAACAGTTCTACAGATAACCTTCTTTGAGACTTCAAAACTGTTTAAACATGGTCGTCTTAAGTTCTGAATTTCAAACAGTAGCTGTGGTAGAAATTGTAGTAGAAACCTCAGCTGTTAACATAGCAATCTAATGATATTTTCAATGTGGTGGCACTGCTAACTAATACTATCGATCACTTTAGCAGAAATGTTCAGCCAATACATCTGCAGTGTCAGGAGGTAGACTTGCATGGAGAGAGAATCCTAACTTGCTAAAATTTGCTGGAGTTCAGCAAAAAATTCAGGACTGTTCTTCTAGATTTCAGATTTATTTTCATAGAATAAATATAATTTTTAAAAGTGCAGAAGAAAATAGGATTGAAGTAGTAAAACTATTTTTTTAATTAAATGAAATCTTCAAATTTATTGTTAGCTTATGGATTTTTCTACCATATGGACCATTTATCTGTCCATAGAGCTCAAATGTAGCTTACCTCCAAATTGATGGAAACTGTTGGTTATGAGAAGAATAGTATATAGCAGACAGTCAAAGCTTCATTTTTAAGATTTTTGTTAGCACTTAATTAAATACCTTTGCATTCTGAAGTTTGCAAGATAGGGATTCCATCATTACCTTCTGGAAAAAGAAGGTTATGCAGTTCTAGCTCTTTTTCCCCATAATTCAAAAGTTATAATAATCTTTGGCAGCCCTCTAGATTCAGAGGGTATTTTTGCTTTTGTGTCTTGTATGGAATTGTTCTGACAGCTGGGGCAGTTCCAGACTGTTCTGGTCCATTTGCCACCTGCTGGTGAGATGGTTAAGAAGGTCCCAGCTCTGAGCTTTGAACATCCATCACTCACAGCTGCATGCTTTAGAATGGACTCAGGAATGGAGAACTGCTGTAATAACTAGTATCTCCTAATTATTCCGTTCCTAAGAATAGGAACTGCGTAAATTACTGGTTTTCTAGATATGTCAGATGCTACTTTTAGCAAAATTTAAAAATTGCTTAAGTTTAAATTGAAAAATATATTGAGATGTTCCCATAAGCATAAGTTTTCAGTAATGTGATGAGTAAAAAAATGCATTTTACGATTGCCATTCAAGTGTGGAATGATTTTGAAACGTGTAATTTGGTATTTTCTGATAACAGCTTTTCTTTACAGTTTGGAAATGGATTTATTTTTCTTTAAAGTAGCAGGATATTGATACATCAGCTTTCCATTGAACTCTCCCTCTGCTGAAACTCTGTCATTCATATGTAGATAAAAACAGTTGTGTTTTAAATTTGGCAGCTTTTGGGGTTTAGATGTGGGTTTTTTGGTTGGTTTTTTTTTAGAAGAAATGCCATGAGAAAAGACTTTGTATGGTGCTTCTAATGGTTTGTGTTGCTGTTTTAGTAGATGACTCTAGGAACTGAGAGAAACCATAGATGGTTTCTTTGAAGTACAACTTATGGTTTGGTTATGACTAATAATATTTACTGGTTAACGATTTTGGTTTTATCTACTCCCTTTTTTTTTAATTTAAATGTCTGCTTTCTGCATGAAGCTGAGAACAACTGCTATCCCATCAATTCAACTTCTTTACATTTTCAGTCTTTTCACATGCATATTCTGCCTTAAAATGTAAAATCCTAACTTTTGGGATTTGATTGCTACTTGTTTTTTTCTTTTTGGCTGCTTTTTATGCTTGGTTTTGTTTTCTCTTACTTATTTCTTATCTATCCTATACTTCCTCATGCCTGCCAAGAGCTTTTTTTTCCTCCTCAGTTCTGTTTTAAATACAGCTTTAAAGAGCGAGGGTTATTCTGTTTGTTACTTCATTATGAACTTCTCCATAGACATGTGTTCTTTGTTTTTTCTGCCCTAATGTAGATTGTTCTGAACAGGAATCAGTATTTAGTCTGTATTTTTGTAAGGTGCTAACTGATCTAAAACAAAGGTGATCTGTGTAAAATAAGAATGTTGAGTTAGATGTGTTTTCATTTTATGGGATATGCCTGCATCACTTCACTTTTCATAACAAGATTTTAGTCAAAGTGATATGAATTCCTATCACAACCACTAGAATTTAACATTTTATTAATATTCTGGCTTTTTTATCTACAAATTTAAAAGAAGGTGTTTGAGTAATCAATCAATTAACTTCTGTCATCCTCACTTGAATGAAGACTGAATGACCTGGAAAAAACAGATTTTTCTATCATATGCTGCAACTCAGTGTGCATGGATTTCTGTACCAAAGTATGGCTACAGTGATTTTGTTAATGCAGCTGTAAACTATTAGGAAATTTAATGGTTATTCTGTTAATTATTTGTATTTTTTTCTCTTTTCTCATCCAGGGTGGTAGGCATGTTGATTACGTGGTGGATCAGGTTGTGGGCAAACTGATAGAAGTGGTGAAAAAGAAGAATAAAGCTGGAGTTTCAGTCAAACCATTTCAGGCAAGTAACTTTATGCACAAATATGGAAAAATATGAATGTGAGAATTTTGTCGAGTAAATTGGTTTCTATGTTTTAAACAGGTGAAGAACCATATATGGGTTTTTGTTAATTGCTTGATTGAAAACCCATCATTTGATTCCCAGACGAAGGAAAACATGACATTGCAGCCTAAAAGTTTTGGGTCCAAGTGCCAGCTATCTGAGAAATTTTTTAAAGCAGTAAGTAAACCTCTTTTTTCCCTTGTGAAGTGGCAATTGACACACTGGACCAAGTGTATGTATGTTCTGTAGCAGAAGATTAGTTATAGTTCATTGTGGTACTGCAGTGACATTTGCATACTCGGGAAGTGGGATGAAGTCTGTTCATTCTCTGGTCTTAATAATGGATACAGTGACTGTGTTTTGTTGCCCTGGATTTAAAAGTGAGCTTCAAGCTGATTAACTTGTTTGTTGGAGATTCTGGCATTTACATGGGTAAACGAAATGAATTTGACTCTTAAAATCTAAACAAGGTCTTATTGATCAATGTTTTTTGTGTTAGAATATTTTTCTGAAGTTGAGAATATTGTCTGCCTTACTCTTTGGTATCAGTCCTATTCTGTTTCACTGGAGTGAAAAGAGAAGGAGAGGATATTTCACATTGACTTGTTTGTCCAGTAATCAAGGAAATGCAAAATGGTGCCTGTAGTATTCAAAGTGATCATTATTGTCAGGAAGTAAGTTCAAATTTTTTTCTGTAGATGGACTAAGAATTGCTGTTCTAAATGAATGTATTTGTAGAAATACATCACGAAGATTTTTCCTCTACTACATTTTCATACAATAAAGGAAAAGTAGAATTGTCCAATTTATTTATATATGTCCTATTATTTATTTATATACGTTCTATTTAATGCCAATAGCCTTAAATGAAACTCTAGTAGTGAAGAGAACAGTGCCACTGCTAATACTTCTGGCATCAAAACTTTACTGATTGTATAGTGGTTTATTCTTCTAATTCTATGTTATAGAATTTAGAGGGAAAAAAAATAACATAACGGACTTGTATAATGAAATCTGAAGAATAAATACATGTTGTATTACCATCAGCAGGTTTGATTTATAGTGTTTTTAATATTCCCAGAAGTAAACATTGATTTCCAGATGCATTAAGTGTGCAGTACAATCTCAACAATGAATGCTGTATTATGTGGGATAATTAAAAGCCAAAGCTCAAAGTATTTTGCTCCATCTGTATTTCCTTTTGATGTGAAACAAAACCTAAAGCAGTTTTAGTTTAGAAAATATATTATGTGCTGGTTTTGCTGCAGATGTGTTTCTAAAATTGGTATCAGAGTCTCAAGGGGTTGGTAGAAAGCTCATTCTTAAATAGTTTTGATTGTCCTTCAGCCATTTTCAGTGATTTCCAAAGAAAATTTAAGTTGTCATAAATATCCCATAAGGCTGCTTTTTGATGTCAAAATCCAGGAAACAAATGCTTAGTACTTAAAATATCTCAGCACATCAACTACACAGCATAAGACAACCTCTTGTTAGGTCTCAGACCTCCTTTGCTCTTTCCGTCAGTTATAGAAGTGTTGGAAAAGGAAATTCCTTTTGTAATGTGTTTTACTTGTATGTGCATAAAGTGCTAAATACTAAGGTGTGTGTTAATCCCTTCACCTTTCATAGGTTCAATTTTTAAAATTTAGAGGACTTTAGAAGCAGTGTTAATGATTTAAAACTGAGATGTAAGAATCTGCTCTCTGAAGCTTTATTTTTCTCATCCACAATTCTGATTTGTTGCTTGTAGGCCTCTAACTGTGGTATCATAGAGAGTATTTTGAACTGGGTCAAATTTAAGGCCCAAACTCAACTGAACAAAAAATGTTCTTCAGTGAAACACAGTAAAATCAAGGGCATTCCAAAACTGGATGATGCTAATGATGCTGGTAAGAGCACTTACTTTTAAATTCTTTACTGTTTCATAAATTCTTCACAGACATGCTAATTTGAAGCCTGACTTTTATTTCTCATCCTTATGTGGTTTTTAATAAAAATCTTTCTGGTTTTCTAAACTTTCTGGAGCTAGAATTCAAACGTGATGGTGAGTTTGGTGTCAGGAATGCTGCCCTCCTTAGGGTAGAGAATTAATAACACTGAACAAAAGTGGCAATCTGGGTTGGTATTGGAAGAGTGTGTATCTTCTAATTGTGGTTTCCTGCTAAATGGTGGTACCAATATTCCATTTCAGGCTGGTCTTCTTGACCTTTCTAATGTAGAAAGATCAGAATCTTTGTAGGGTCAGAAGGTAGAGGAAGTAAATCACGTAGTGTGCAAGCCTGAGGGAATGGCTCAAGAGACTTATTTCATTAGACTTTAAATGGCATAGGTTCCTATCTGGGAATATAGGGCAAGCTGGCAATCTCTGCTGGCTTTCTTAGCACTGATAAGGGATCGGGATCAGCTGGCAGTCTTTGTGCCAATAGCAATGGGATGGGAGTTGTTGAATGAATGATATGAAGGGCACACATGGCTAAAGAGCTCAAAATGTTGCCAATCTGTGTTATTATTAGTTGTTTTTTAATACATCCTCACATTTAACAAAGGTAGAGAGATTGCAGTGAAGTATGTAGGTGAGCTGAGTAGGTAAAAGCATGGAACACTAAGAAAGAGGCTTGGTTTTGGTTGGTTTGGGGTTTTTTTTGTGCTTCAACATTCAAGCCAAAGATGACTTGATGAGATGGTGGTTCTGTTTAATTTTCCTTCCTTTCATTTTGGTTCTTTCGTTATTAATTTTTAATTGAGTTTTCTTCAGTATTTAATTACTTTTTCATTTATTCAGATATCATATTTTGCCTCAAAAGTTGATAATTGCATCTACTTTAGTATTTTGCCTGTGGAATTTTCACTCCTCATTCAGATATCAGTTCCTGATACTTCTCTTGCCATTAAGATTATGTGCTTGAAAAAATTATGTATTTTCATGGATATCAAGCCTAGTGCTCCTAACTCATATAATGACTGATTTTGGACAAACTGTTTTGGTAGTTTTTTTAGCTTTGCTTTGGAGATCAGGCTTCAAAATCACTTCTTACTCTTTTTTTTTTTTTTTTTTTTTTTGACTGGAGGTGAGGGGAAGGGAGAATCTCTTAACAAGGCAGCTAATAAAATATTCTATTGGTTTTCATCCTGAAAGTTCCTCAACTACAAAGGCATATAGGGATTCATTTGGGCTGCACACTCATGCCTAAAGCTTTGCATGACATGAATGCCTGTTACCCAGGTATTTCTCTGATGCCTAATTATTGTTTCATGTTGAGGGAACTCTGCATCTCCTGAGGAGGCTTAGCCAGGTTTTGGTTTGCTGAAGATGTGGAATGTACTGGATTTCTGACACTGAAGACATCGCACATTCAGGGTGGACACACAGGGAGTGCAGCAGGGAGAGTTCTCTGGCCACAAACCCCTCTGACTTTAGTTATTTCTGTGGTTTTTATATTTTATCTTTACTTCAAGAATGAGTTTGAAGCCGAGGTCCAGCATTCACAGGTTTCTTTTGTGCCTGGTACCCTGCATGTTTTAATCATTGCAAGTTAATGCTAAAGTATAGGAGAGATGCGTATCTGTAGAGTGATGCATGTGCTGCTCCCCCTCCTCTGTAAAGAAAGCGTCCTATACCTGGTCATTCTTGCCACCTTGAACAGCTATACATAGTTCTGTGGCGTGTTGGGGGAGAAGAGGTAGAAATGAAAACAAAAATTAAGAATATATGATTGTAAGGGAGCAGCTAGATATTATATCAGGTGAAGTATAAAAGCATTTTTTGAACCTGTCATTTCATCTAGTTTTGTCTTGGAGTTCTTTAGAGCTGTGCCTAAGAAAATACCTGGCATATTTTATTTCCATGAAATTAATTGCTACTGATTGCATCCATTCCGAAAGAAAGTGAACTTTGATGACATTCATGTGTGTTTTCTGCAGTTCATTTATGAAAAATATTGGCTTTTATATATTCTAAAACATCAGACTGATGTTTCTCTAGGTATTTGGAGTCCACCTTGCTGGTAGGTAGTCACTGCCAGTGTGAAAAACTGCCTTAGATTATATAAAGCAACATGTCTTGATTCAGAAAACCAAAGGTACTGAATGTAAGTTTGTGTAATAGGAAGTATGGGCTGGTCCTTTATCTACCAGGTAAAGGCAAATTACAGCACACATTTTAAATACCACTATATTCAAAACTACCTTATTAGCAGTAGGTGAGACTCAACCAGCTTGAAGTGTTTTATTTTGGGGTCTTTCCTACCACAGGCCTTGATAAAATAGCAAAGCTACTTAATGAGCATTTGCACTGTAGCAGAAGGGTGGGTTCCTTTTTTCAGCCTGCTTGTTATTTAGAACATCTATTCTACTGCTACAGTTGCAATAGGCAGAACATAAATGTTATTCCAGTTTTGAGCACACAGGCACCGAAATGCTGTGTGTCTTGTAGAATCAAAATTACACTGTTAGTCAAGATTTGTTTTTCTGTTTGAGAAATTTGTGAGGTATAAGAAGTGCAAATGTTCTCATTGAGCTTTTCTCACAATTTTCTTCTACAGTTGTCTGGCTTTAGCTGATAGACAATTAAAAGGGAAAACCATAAAAATGTGATTTAACAATTTACTATTTAAAATATATGTGAGGAAAGTGAAAATGCAGAATGGGAAATAACTCCTGTATGTAACTCAGGCATGCATATAATGTATGTGTGTAAGAAATTTGCAGCTAGCAAACTGAAATGGTGAAGGTAGGGAAGCAATCTGTCTTTTTTGTGCAGATGTTTGGAAACCATTATATAAGATGTGCCACCATTGCATCCCATTTGGTCCTTGTCCATAGCAATCCATAGTGTACTGCTGAGGGCAAGGATACTCATTACTGCGCAGTTTTAGTGGTATGGAAGGACATCCCTAAGAAGAGAAATTCAGCCTACTTAAATTAACTGATGAGAAAAAATTACCTGTAGAGTAGAAAGAATTCAACTGTATTTCTTTTAATTGAGTTACGCTTTCTGGTTTTTTGCCTTCCCTCTACTTCTTCCTGGCCTGCAGGTGGCAAACATTCCCTGGACTGCACGTTGATATTAACAGAAGGAGACTCAGCCAAATCTTTAGCTGTCTCTGGCCTAGGCGTTATTGGTAGAGACAGATACGGAGTCTTCCCACTCAGGGGCAAAATTCTCAATGTCCGAGAAGCTTCTCACAAACAGGTGTGTAGTTTTGTCCTTTCCTTTTTGCTGACAAATGGATGTCCTGTTTATTCTTGATTTCTAGATTTAAATCTTCATATTTTAATTTTTTCATGGAAGTTTTGTGACTGAGATTTCATAAAGTACAAGCTATTTTGAAGCGTGAGATAAGCATGTAAATATTAACTCTAGCAATGCAGTACTGGGATTATAAAGTTCATTTCTTCACAAGTGAAAGGAAATCTTGCTATGACTCATATTCGCATTTCACATGAGTACTTAAAGCCCCTAAAACTTTGTATTCTCTTCATTACCATGTGATGTCATGGACTCACAACATGAATCAGCAGCATTACCCCATCATATTGCTCCTGCTGCCATTCATAATTTGTCTGTAATAAGAGGTGTGCTGCAGATGCCCATAAAAACAGTGGAAAAAGAAGGCAGCTTTGTGAGATGACTTTTTGTTACACATTCAGTTTTCTCCCAGCTTTCCTGATCCAAAGTGCTCTGGCTGTAGTGGAGAAAGAGAGTGGTGCAGTCTTGTGAATTTGCGTGTATGGAAGAAATCATTAAAAGTGCAAAGGGTTCAAGGGGTGGGAATAAAAAGCTTATGAAGTTGAGGTCAGGGTGCATTGAAAAAATAAAGATTGGGATGTTTCTGAATCTCTACTTTTTACACTGGCTGCAAAAATAACTTCTTTGTACAGATCATGGAAAATGCAGAAATCAACAACATCATCAAAATAGTTGGATTACAATACAAGAAAAGCTATGAAGATCCAGAATCTCTGAAAAGCTTGAGATATGGAAAAATTATGATCATGACAGATCAGGTAAGTCTGAAATTCACAGGTTTTAATCTAAAGAGCTTCTTAAAATGTGTTTTGCTGCAATTTCATAGGTTCTGAGGTTTCTTTAAGGGATTAATTTATCTGTGTTGTTTTGGTTGTTCTAAATGTACAGCTGAACTTTGCTGCAGGAAATAGCAAGAAGCCAAAGTAATAGTAAAAACATGCTATTGATAATTCAAAAATATGTTGAAAGTAAGGACAAAATTGACAGTAAATGAGGTGGTATTGTTAGAAAGTCGGGTAGAAACAAGAATGTAGGCAGGTTTTTTTTTGGATAATCTTATGATTGAACTATCAAACATCTTGCCACCAATGAGAACTGTGGCTGGGTTTGGCTTTTTTCCACAAAAATTCTGCTCTGTGGTGTCTGGGAGAGCTGTCTAGCTCTCAGCAAAAACATGCCACAGGCAGAGAAACCTTGAACAACAACCATGTACTTGGCTTGGGAGAGCTTTTTTCATAGCTCAGGGACAGTGACTTTCACAGGTGGTTATTTCATACCCAGGTCCAGTTTGGAATCCAAATTAAAACCAATTGTTCCTTTCTATGCTTTTTGTCATCAGACACTGTGTTGATGTATTCAAGCCAGTGAGTGGGTTTTTTGGTGGTTTGGGGAATCTGATACAAGATTGCTTCATGTTTCCATGTTCTGATTCAGGATCAGGATGGATCTCACATAAAGGGCTTGTTGATCAATTTTATTCATCACAATTGGCCATCACTGTTGAAACATGGTTTTCTTGAGGAATTCATCACCCCTATTGTTAAGGTATGGGCTCTGTTATTGAGATTTTACGGATTACTTACAGCACAACAGAAATGTTGATTTTGTTTGTTTGTTTTTTCAAAGGCAAGCAAAAATAAGCAAGAACTTTCATTCTATAGTATTCCTGAATTTGATGAGTGGAAAAAGCATATGGAAAATCATAAAGCGTGGAAGATAAAATACTACAAAGGTTTGTTTAAAAACAAATATGTGAACCCTAAGAATAAATAATAATAAATGGGTGCTATGAAGTTTTATTATAGCTTTTCATGATACTATCTTACATAATGATTTTATAATATTCCCAGGAAAATAAAAGAGACAAAATAATTTAACTTAAATTTTGAATAATAAGTAACTAATTTTTTTTATTGTACAGGGTTGGGTACCAGCACTGCTAAAGAAGCAAAAGAGTATTTTGCAGACATGGAAAGGCATCGGATCTTGTTTCGATACGCTGGGCCTGAGGATGATGCTGCCATCACACTGGTAAGAACTCAGAAAAGTGATTCTAGATGATGTTTTTTTTTTCGTTGTGTGCTGAAAATGACACGTGAGGAAGTTGTTTTGTTTTTGTTTTGTTTTTGTTTTCTTGGGTACCTGAATATAGCAGTTTTGGAAACAGGGTGGAAACACCAATTAAGTGTAGTGGTTTTGGTTTGCGAATTGTTCATTTCCTGGCCAATGCACCCATTAATGGAGTGGGTCTAGTGCTGGCCAAATGTCAGTGCACCCACTACAATTATTTACTAATTTCCTGCTGCAAGATAGGGATTAGGAAGAGAGCAAAGCAGGCTGAAACTTTAAAAGGTGTAAAGAAAACAGAAATAAAAGAAAAGTAAGAAAATCAGAATAAATCTTCAGAACACTTCTCCTATCCTCACACCCTCTTTTCTTACCCACTGGCAGTGTAAAGAGACAAAACCTGGGACTTTCAGTCAGTTTACCACCTCTGAAATAGTCTTTCTTCAGTTCTCTTAGGGAGAGGAGTCTCTCTTGCCACGCCATGGAGACTTCTCCACAAGAAACTCTTGTGGCTTCAGTGTCACAGTGAATCAGCAGCCTCCCAGAAGTCTGCAATTCCTCACATGTTTTGGAAGTTTTTTCCCATAAATACCACCATGGGTCATTTCAGCTTATTTGGATGCAACTTTAAGGATGAGCTGTTCTAGTATAGAAACAAAAGTTCTCTTCTTTTATCTCTGGGAGCAGAGGTTTTCTTCTTAAATTCCTGGGGCAATGTTTCTCATCTCTCTTGTCCCTCTCTGTTCAAGCTTCTCATTGAATAACAGCTACTGCAACATCTGCTTATTTCAACACTGGTGCTTCTGCTCACAGCTGTAGTTAGAATGCTACATCCCCCCAGTGCATCCCATGAATTACGGGGAAAAAACAAGGTCTGATATATCAATTATATCTTCACCATATCCTTACAAGAGAATTTCAGCTCAAAACTAAGGCATCCCCTCAATCTCCTCTGATCTAGAATTTGACTCCTTCTTCACTGACCTCAGTGTCCCATGTTGTTTTCTTTATGTGTCTTCACCCTTTCCTTTTTCTTGATTCAGGAGAGAATAGATGTTCATAGGTTCATTTGTTCTCAAGCTTTATCAGTTAAAAACCAAACTACGTTTAACCAAGACACTGAAAAAAATACTTTAGGTGGAGAAAGAATCTTCTGGAAAATGTTTTCAATTTTGGAATAAGGTTAATCCACGACACAAAATGAGCTCTACCTTCTGCTTTTAGATTTGATAATTTTGTGTGGTGTGAATATCAGGAAATGTTACAGTCAGCACTGCTTTTAAAGACAGAACATACAAGAAAGTACACTGAGGGGTTTTTATTTGTTTGGGCAATAGAGCCCAAACAAATTATGTTTCACAGGGGTCTGTATTGTTTCTGAGCAAATAAGATTAGATAAATATGGTTTATTCATTGAAGTGTGTCATGTCAGTGTGTCATGTATGTATCCATGCACATGCTATACATATTTGAATTTGAAGTTTTGTAAACTGTGTAGTAAAATACTTGTGTTTCAAAGAAAGCTTGTGGAAGGACAAAGTATGAAGTGTCCGGAATTAAGCTGTTTTCTCGAGAAATGTTTCCACTTTTATCTGCTTTAATTTGCTATTTTAATTGTAGGTGACATTAGCGAGAAGAAAGAGTAGGAGAGAAAAAAAAGGAAAATACCTATCTTAGACAAAACAACTGTTTTCTTAGCCTGTGGGTACAGTAAAATGTGTGGTTTTACTAACAGAATTCTATTTCTAATATTAGAGATCCCTGAATAGAGATCTATTCTGATCTCTATTTCTGCAAAGAGACCTCCATACAAAGGCTGGTATATAAGGCCATGTAACCAATTATGGCTGATCCTCACTGTCACATAAAATAGTGTTCTGTCAGTCTGGGAAGGAGCTGTTCACCTCTGTTATACCTCAGCAACTACCAGCTAGTGCTGGAGCTGTGTGCAGAAGCTTCACTTCCACTTCCACCTGCATTTCCACAGCTGATCGCTGGAATCCCAGCCCCAGTTTTACCTCTGGGTGGTATGTGGACCCCAGCAGACCTTTTGATAGCTGAAATCTAGGAAAGCAAAAATTCTTTCACAGAGCAACTTCTTCACCTATTTGAAGAGCTCTTTTGCTAGTATATGAAGTATTAGAAGAGCAATTTTAAGTGGAGAAGCCAAAAAAAAATCCCCTTCTTATTCTACTGAAGATTAAATATTTGAGAACAGCTCTTCATTCCATTCATTTTGATTTTATTCTATTGAAATAATTTTTATGCTGATCCAGCTCTTGGTCATTTGTCACTTCAGTGGTCTAGAAAAGGTATAGATAAACTGAAAGGAGCCAGAAAAAAATTGTAGGAACTTAGTCCTGTTTTTTACAAAAGCCTAATCTTAAATTTTAAGATGTCTGGCGCTGTGAATTATCAAGCTTGGTTCACACGGGAATTCAGTCTGATGCAAAACAGGGTGATATGACTTAGGCCCTTTATCAGAAACTAAGTTACATTTAATATTTATTATGTAGCATCTTGGTCTCCAAGGAATTGACACAACTCATTGAGGTCTTTTGGAGCGCTCCCGTCAGAGTCCTTTGAAAAAGATGGTGCTGCTGAATGTGTTCTTACGCAGGAAAGTGCTTGAAATCAGGACATAATGAAGTTTCTGTATATTACTCCCTGAGAAAAAAAGGCAGTACCTCAGCAGCTCACAGAATTTCCCCAAAGTAGTCAAAATCTTCTTTAAACCACATGTTCAGTTTTTATATATTTTTCTCTTTCTGGGAGAAGTAACTCACTGGAGGGGAACTCTGTTTCTGTAACACCACAAAGTCAGAACATTCCTGTGTCCTTTTGTAGTGATAAGTGGTTGCTGGAAATGATGCCTTGTCATCATGAAGGCTGAGGCTGTCAGTCAGCTGGCCCAAACTCTGGCTTACGCTTTTTGAGCAGTGTCAATTCTGTCAGGTTGTCAATTTTCGCAAGAGGACTAGGGATGGCCAGTCAGGAACAGCTGCAAGTTATTGACAAAGCAAAAAGGGCATGGAGAGGACATGAGTGGGGTATTTTTTCTAATACCTTCACTTGATTGTCTTGATGAGAGCTGGTTACAGCTCAGTCTAAATGATGAACCCAAGCTTTAAGCTGTGTGGGGAAAGACCTTCAAACCTGTGTGTCAAAGCGCAACTCTGATGTGAAGAAGGGAAGAAGAATGATAAGATTTGTCTAAATGTGTGCAGATTTCAGGACAGCAATATAAATTTAGATTGCAAACAGTGAGAGATCTGTCATTTCAAAAAACCTTGTGCAAAAATGTCTGAATAGTCATGTACTGGTACTGCTCCTTAAATGTAAACATTACTTATACGGATTAGCTTGTCCAAATAAGCCTTATTGGATACTTGATCAAAAAGTGCAATATACTTAGAATTCTGACTGAAGTAACAAACATTTGCACAAACATTTATATGCTGATACTTTAGTGTACTTGGAATCTTTCCAGGCCTTCAGTAAGAAGAAGATTGATGACCGAAAAGAATGGTTAACAAATTTCATGGAAGACAGACGGCAGCGTCGACTACACGGCCTTCCTGAGGTTAGTCCTAGATAATAGCAGTAAATCTGCCAGGTGAGATTTAAATGTAGTGTAGTTTTTGTATTGAATGAATAATGTATGTGGTTTTTTCCAGCAATTTTTATATGGTACAGCAACAAAACATTTGACTTACAATGATTTCATTAACAAGGAGTTGATCCTTTTCTCAAATTCAGACAACGAGAGATCTATCCCTTCCCTTGTTGATGGTAAGCTGATAATTCATTATGTTTTTTTGGACTATTTTTGTTTATTGATGGTTTTTAGAGCTGTGATTTGCACTGGAATCGTTCAGGTAGAGAATATAAGAACTTCCATGCATGTGTTTGTTATCATTTTGTATATCATTGGTATTCTGGGTGGTTTAGGAAGAGCAGTGCCAGGGGGTCAAGGGAGGTGCAGCCCTGGTGATGCCACATCTGCTGTGTCCAGTTCTGGGCTCCTGAGTACAAGAGACATGGAGCTCCTGGAGCGGGTCCAGAGGAGGGTTGTGAAGATGATTAAGGGTCTGGAGCATCTCTCTTATGAGGAAAGGCTGAGGGTCTCAAGAGATGATTGAGAGGGGACCTTATCAATGTGTATAAGTATCTAAAGGGGAGGTGTCGAGAGGATGGAGCCAGGATCTTCTCAGTTATGCCAAACAATAGGACAAGAGTCACTGGACAGACACTGATGCACGGGAAGTTCCACCTGAACATGAGGAAGAACTTCTTCAGTGTGCAGTGACCACACACTGGAACCGGTTTCCCAGAGAGGGTGTGGAGTCTCCCTCAGTGGAGATATTAGAGAGAGAGACACCATATCCTGTGCAAAGATGATCCTGCCTGGGGAGGTTGGACCAGATGAGCCGCTGTGGTCCCTTGCAGCCTGAACAATTTAGTGATTTATGTGGTAAGGAATTGCCGTGTTTCTTCTGTGAGGAAGTTGAAGCTGTTGCTGTGCAGGCTTTTTACTTAACCAGATCTATTCCCTAGTCCCTACAAGGGCTTTGTTTCTGCTCATACCATCAGAGAAAGCAAGTCTCTTAAGTGCTTATAATAATTAACATTCAAGTCAGCAGCTGAGTGCAGATGAAGATGCAAATATTTTCTCCCCTCAGTCTTGCACCACAGTCAGTGCTGTAGTGTTTATTGACCTGTAATCTTGTTAGGCTCTTGTCAGTCAGGTTTACTAATCCTCCCCTTGCAGTAGCATGTACATTAAAAGGAGCAGTTTTTACTACACTACAGCTTCATTTGTAAAACTGTCTGCAGACAGCGTGAACAGGAATTTCTGCCCATGTCATTGCCTGTGTGCACAAGCTTACTATGATCAGGAAAAAGGCCTTGAGACTTTGGGGACTGGTGAAGTGCATTTATCTCCAGTTCTCAGTACATCTTAGAGTGGAGCTGGTCAGACTTCTTAGCACTGCAGACTTATAGCAAGGTATTAGTGCAGCAAGAGCTTTTTGTGTTTTGGATGAAAGAGAGGGATTGTTCAGGAGGTAGGGGCAGTAGCTTCACAGTAAGATGGATCCCTAGCTTTGATACAGAATGAAACTGAGTTAGGTATGGAGATTCCCACCTAAGGAACCAAAGGATGTCAGTTTCTGATTCAGCTTCTCCAGACTTACTTCCTCCCATACCTGGGCACTTACAGAGCTGTATGTTTCAAGAGATCGTTGCTCCTTAGAGCATAGTGTACCCAGACTGCCTTCTCAGAAACAGCAGAACGATTTTGCTGAAACATTAAATATTTAAGAATGAAATTGCAGTGGACTGTTTCTACAGAAATGCAAGTAAATAAGAAGGGAACATAGTTATTAATATATTTGTGTATGTCTATGTGTATGTGTAACAATATAGGTGTATATATAATACTACAAATATTATATATAATTCCTATGAGTGTTTCTGCCAACTTTGGCTGTAATTCTGCATTCTGGGCATGGATATATGAATTGTGCAGCAGGTGTAGTGCTCTAGCAATGTTTTTTGTCCTTTAGCATTATCAGGTGATATATGACAGGCTAGCCTGGTGGCAAATCTCAGAAAAAGTAATGAAAATGAAGAATTTTGACTGTATCTTCACAACTGGTTACAATTCTTGCTCCTTGGTGATTCTCCTTTTAAAGGAAGTACTTTAAGTCTGTTGTATTCCATAGAGTGCTGGAAGAAAAACATGATGCAGAGCCACTGTAAAAAATTTGGATATTACATATTTGAATGAAATGGAAATTGAAGTCAGTCTCTCTTTTTTTTTTCTTTTTGTCTTCCTTCCAGCTTTTGCTCTTATATTTGACCCACTGTACTAATGGTAACATTAAACAATATTTTAGTTCATTTTAGAAATGTGTGTGAATTAAGACATTGAACAGCTCAATAAGTGTGATCAAGAACTGGTTATCAAGTTCTGGATAACAGGAAATATAATGCAATCCCTTCCACACAGCTGTTGTTCCTAAAGTGTGCCTAAGCAATGAAAGTAAACCTTTTCAGAAGATCAGATCAGAAGATCAAAGGCTGGCTTCTTTCTTAAAACTTTAAAAGATCCCAAGAGGATAACATTTTTTGGTATTGAATTTTAATACATATTTGAGAATTTCACACAAGAAGTAAAATTTCAGAGTTCTGTGAAATCCATGTAAGCTGCAGTTATATCTGTCATTGCTGAATTTGTGCTGATATTCTTAGGAAAGAGTTTGCTGGGCAGAATGGAAAGAATTCTTGACTTGTGGAAGTGTATATTTAGGATCAAGGTGCAGTTCATTAGAATGATATCTTGAATGCTGTATAATTGGCTGAAAAGGTTGTTTCCACTTTTTTGGTAATTTTTTGAGTTTGGTAAAATATTTTTAATTACTTTTAAAAACGATATTATTTTGTTAATATTTTAGTGTGAATTTGCTTCTATTTAATGTTTAGACTTCTTTTGAGAGACTAGAAATGATAATAAGGCAAAGGAAGTTTATCACTTGAAAACATTTGCTTGTGTATGTGTTGAATATGAGATGTTCTTCCTAATAGGTCTGAAACCAGGGCAACGCAAGGTTCTGTTCACTTGCTTTAAGAGAAATGATAAACGTGAAGTAAAGGTTGCTCAGCTGGCTGGTTCTGTGGCTGAAATGTCAGCTTATCACCATGGGGAGGTGAGTATGGAGGATGGTGAAGTTGTGAGGAATTTCAGCCCATGTAAAATTGTCAGAATCTGTGGTATTGATGATTACAAGATTGTAAAAAGTCTCTGTCTTTCTGCCCCATTGCCAAAGAAGAAGCCATAATTCGTCTGTGCTGTTTTCAAGGTTGTTTATTCTTGCTTATCTCTAACATGTTCTGCTGCCCTGCCGCAGGTCTGTCCTGCAGGGCAGCGTGTGGGGCTCTTCCCCCAGTGGGATGTTACAAACATTATATACCAGAAACTACCTGTGCTGGATTTACAATAATGTGCCAGTATCTATCATCTATGTTGAACAGTGTGTCCCCAGCCTAAACCAATAGAAAAATGCCAACACTACAGTGAAACATGGAGGGCATGAAGAAGGAGGAAAAGGACAAGACACACCCAATTTCCTCCATCTTGTCCCCTCTGAACCCCTAATCTAGAATCCTAAAATTTTACTCTTGCACCCGTGCCACACTTAATTATTACTCATATCAAACACTCAGAGCTTGTAAATAATCTTGTGAGATTGAAAACTCTTTTCCCTGGACAGAGATCACAGACAGTGTCTCTCGGGGCTCTGTACAGGGGTGTTCCTGACCCCCTGCCAGGGTCCCAGGCCCTCCAGGGCAGCCAGAGGGAAGCCCTGGATTCCCACATAAAATATTAGGTAAATGTTTCTGCTATTGAAATTGCAAACTATACTACAATTCTACCAATCAAAGGTGTACATTTAAAGAACATGAACCAAGCTGTGTGTAGCTTGATAAGACAGCATATTTTCTTTCTTTCCAAGTGTTGGTGCTCGGTGTTACCCCAAATACATTGTGGGTTGTGCCAAAATAGTAGATAACTAATTACCTAAACAACTAGATTCTGAAATCATAGGAATATAGGAACTGTGTTCTAGGACAATTTTTGTCTGAAACAAGAAACATGCAGTATTTTAAGGGAAGAAGCCAAGGCTGTTCTTTGAAACTTATTACAGTGTTAGAACAAAGATTTTTTCTAGGTCCTGTTTTGTTTATATTTATCTGAAATATTAGCAACAGTGGTTATATTAACCACCCATCCATCCCTTCTCTTCTCCCTTTGGAAGCCATGAGCAGTGGTTTGCGCATGCAAGTGTGGTCAGTTTATGTCCCTTTACTTCCCCCTTAGAAGTGTTTTTGAAGAAGTTGAGAAGCTCAGGGGTTTTCATGAGCATAGCATATATATTTCCAGCAGCCCTTGTAATAGGTTTCAACAGTTCTTTCTCAGGGAGACTGCTTTCTTAAAGATTTAATTCATGTTCATCACACAATTTTGGGCCATTAAAAATAGGTTTTGCTGGCTGATGAGGATAGACTGTCTCATACTTGTTACTATGAATATTTATTTTCTTGCAGCAAGCATTAATGATGACTATAGTCAACTTGGCTCAGAACTTTGTCGGAAGTAACAATGTGAATCTGTTACAACCTATTGGTCAGTTTGGCACCAGGCTTCATGGTGGAAAGGATGCTGCCAGCCCTCGATATATTTTCACCATGTTAAGGTAAACTATTCATGTCTGGCTAAATGCATACTTCTAAATAGTCTTCTTATGAAACTTATCCTTTCACAACACTCCTTTTTTAGGGGGGTGGGGGAGAGAAATGGAGAAAGATTTAAATATTTTGATAGAAGCTCATATTTTGCTTTGGATCTCGTAAGTGTAGTTTTGAACATTCATAACATTTTGCTACTCCTACAGATAAGCAAGGAAATTTTGCAACTATTTGGATGCTGTGTTGCTTTATTACTGGGTGCCCCAGTGTCACACTGAGCTGTGTGTTCTGAAAGCTTCAAAGGATGATATTTTGTAGATGCTAAATGTCAACAGTTGCTAGTGTACCGGGTACATGTGTTGCTGTGAAGGAAACAAACTTCATCTATTATGAACACTATTCCATTGGGAAGAACTTCGTTATCTCAGGAAGTGTGTACGTTGGATTTTCAGCTTCAGAATGGCAAAGAAAGAGAAAGATGTGAGAAAAATCTGCAAACAGATCATATCTGGGCCCAAGGGCTGTTAAAGCAAAATGTTCTTTACTTACTGGCCTTGAGGTTAAATGGTTTTCTTTTTTTTTTTTTTTTTAAAGCCCTTTAGCAAGGCTACTTTTTCCATCAGTGGATGACAACTTACTTAAATTCCTGTATGATGACAACCAGCGTGTAGAGCCTGAATGGTATATTCCCATCATTCCCATGGTCTTAGTAAACGGAGCTGAAGGAATTGGCACTGGCTGGGCATGCAAATTGCCAAACTATGATACCAGAGAGATTGTAAACAATGTCAGACGAATGCTGGATGGCCTAGATCCCCACCCAATGGTAAAAATAATAGTATATATTGGTATTTTTTATGTGTGTACTTACAAAATCAATTCCTATCTCTCTAGAACTTCTCTATTTTTTATATCGTCAGAGTTGGTTTGTCCCAGTAATTTTATGTAGAAGCTCTACTTGACTGTTGGCATGAGGCTGAGGAAGTTCACTTTGAAGCAAAAACATTGCTATTTGTATTTTTAGCAATTATTTTAGAGGACATTTTTTTCAGTCTACTGACTGTTACAAGTCTTACAGGGTCGTTGTGACATGTCAGTAGAGGAAAAAGTATATTGCTCTTTCTTTTTGAAGGTACTAGTTAAGTATCTTCAGCCAAAGTTAACATTTCCTTTCTCTTGTCTGTATTGTTCTCTCTTTTATATAACTGTAGGCAGAGGAGAAGATACTGCTGCTGTTCAAGAAAATCAGCAGCTTCTGAACTGCATTTAGCTTCTGTTTATTCAAAATTTTACAAGTCGCAGAAGTGGGGTGAAAAAAATTGGGCAGGAGGAATACCTGTGTGAACCCACAATATCTGTGACCAAGAGATGAAATACAGTTCATGTAATCTTAATTTTACAACTGATGAATTTTGCTGCTTGGCTGTGTTTATTAAGCTATAGAAGCAGAAACATCTTTTCTTCCCTATTTAGATCACAGTTCACTGAATGTGCAATATCAATTTTTAAGACATAGTGGCTTTCCTTTTTCAAATTCTTGGGAATAATGAGATTTTTTTTTTTTTTTTAATTAATTGCCCTTCCTTTAGGACCCCCTGGCCTTCTGTGTAGTCTCACAGTCAAATGAAGCTCACGGTGCTTGAAGGAGTTCTGCCTCCATCTAGCTCCTTTCTGTATGCTGGTGTGTTTTTGTGTGAAGCTGGATAAGGAAATCAATCCAGTTAAGAAAAATTCCTCAGCCTGTTAGTTATAATTTGACCTGGATGGGTTCCACTATCTTTGCCAAACAGCATAAAAATGAAAAAATGGTTAGGGGAGGTAGCACCACTTCTGTAGTTACTGTGGGGTCTTTATCTGCTTTCTTTCATGCCTTAATTGTGCTTAGAGTTTTCTTTAAGAAAGAGGAAGAAAAAACCAAACTAAAGAATCAAAACAAAACCCCACCACCTCACTGGGTTCAACTGCATCTTCTTAAGAATTTTCCTAGTCTCTGGACAGTAGGATAATTGGTCCTGTCACTTGCATGTGTGTATTCTGGTTTTTCTGTAGTATTTTTCCTATGACTTCAAATTTTCACAGTCTGATGTTTGTTGGAGGGTTAAGTGTATGGAGTATGGAAAAGAAATATTTTTCTGACATTTTATTATTACCACTTTGGTGGTTTTTCCAATTTCAGCTTCCAAACTACAAAAACTTCAAAGGAACCATTCAGGAACTTGGTCAAAATCAGTATGTAGTGAGTGGTGAAATATTTGTGGTGGACAGGAACACAGTAGAGATTACAGAGCTTCCTGTAAGGACATGGACCCAGGTAAGTAACAGTGAAATACATTTTAATATAAACAAAAAACAGTGAAGAATTCCTCAATAAATTATTTAATCCTATGTCTGTGTGAACTTCTAATAATCAATTTCTGAATGTACATACATGGAAAGGAATATGGTTTCATTCTTCTGGGTGCTTTTGTAGAAGATGGCTCTCTGTTTGTTCTGTCAGCTGCCCATGCTACATAGAACACCTGCTTCTCCTGCTTAATCCACTTTACAGTAGCCTTTTCTGTCCTGGTTTCTGCCTCTTATGTCTGTGCTACTCTTGGCCTGCATTTTGCAGGTTATACTGGTTCTGTAAGTTATAACTGGTATCAGAGAGCTTTGGAAGTTTATGTTGTTCATTTGGTTTGCAGTTTTAAGGCATTTCATATGGTTCTATTTTTTGCTGCCCTGTTTTCAACAGGTGTACAAAGAACAGGTTCTAGAACCTATGTTGAATGGGACCGAAAAAACTCCAGCATTGATTTCTGACTATAAGGAATATCACACTGATACAACTGTGAAATTTGTTGTGAAAATGACAGAAGAAAAGCTTGCCCAGGCAGAAGCTGCTGGATTGCACAAAGTCTTTAAGCTTCAAACAAGTCTTACTTGTAATTCTATGGTAACTTTTTCATGTTTGGCTATTAGAATCCCTACTGTTGCTTGTTGTACAATCAAATGCTTTTGTAGTATACTTTGGTTCTTGGTATTGAACAGTGCATTGTGTATTTGAAATTGTTTCAATAGTAGAAAACTGTAATGATGACCAATACTAAGTCAATATGAATAAGCAAATCCATTTTATGATGACTCTTTCAAATAAGACAGGCCTGGGGTGGTTGCCTTTCTGTAATTGAAAATTTCCTGTGCAGCGAACCAAAAGTGGTTAATGTAAAGTAGATCATACAAATAACTTTCTGCCATATTATAATTAGAGTTTTAAACTTGAGACAAATTACATTTTCAAAATTGCACTTTCTGCAGGACTGTTACTCCTCTAATATGAGTTAAATGATCCAATGTTTCCGCCAACATAAATCAAATTTTAGGTGGTAAGGTATAGCAAACACTGTTCTTAAGCTGCTGAAGACATAGTAGTGCTGTAAATTACTAAGAATATGAATAAATATACAGGTATGTCTATTCTGAGAGGGATTTGAATGTAAGTCAATTTCTGCGAAGATTTCCAAACATCCTGTCTTTACAGATAGTGAAAAAACAGTTCTGGTTTATTTATGGCAGATGCTACTTTCAGATATTATCACAAGACACAAATATAATTATTGCTGCAATTGCTTTGTATATCAAAAGCTGTGTGAAAATAGGTTAAAAATAAATGGATGACTATAGAATTGGAAAAGGAAACAGTCCTCGCTCAACTAATTTTCTAGGTTGTACTTGAAAAGCCAATCTACCAAATCAGGGTGATTGTATTTCTCACGTATTTAAACAACTGTAGGAGCTACTGTGAGAATCTGTTGTCAATTTTACATTTCACAGATTACAAAATGTTTTGCAGCTGAATTCCTGCATTTTCTGCCTGCCAAAATAAATAATAAATTGTAAGGGCTGCTTTCTGTACCTGTGTAGAAATTAATCTGCCCTAGTGTAAGAACCTTAAAAAGTTATGTGAGCTTGGCCATTGTCCCCCAGCTCCCAGATAGCTATTTTGGATAGATGAATTATCCCTTAGAGGGGTTTATTTCTTTCAGCTGACTATGGAGGGCACCGAGGGTGACTAGTTCACCTATAAATGTCTAAACTGGAAACGTCAAAAGCCAGACAGGATTGATTCCACTTATCAAGTAAAAATGATTTCTTACTTTGTGCTTGAACTTGAAGGATGGTAGTTTTCACAGCTGAAAAGTGACAGATTTCACAGCTGAATTGAAAGATTATTAAGGATTATTAAGCTTTGTAACTGTTATATTAAATAGTTGTGAATCATCACTTGCTGCTGAACTTGTGATTTAATATGTAGATAAAATTAGTCATTCAAGTGAATTCAGGCATATTTCTCTATATAGCTGTCTTTTTGTTTGATTGTACTGCCATAAATGTCATCCTAAATCTACTTTTGAATAAAAATAAATCTACTAAATCTACTTTTGAATAAAAATAAAGACCATCCAGCTCTGTGCTGTGTAGCTCCAAAGTGAGGTTTGAGTTCACACTCCTCAAAATGCCACTTTTTGCACAGTGCTTTTATATGTGCAGTAGAACTAAACACAAGGGCTAACAAAGTTTGAGTTATGCAGCCTCTCTCAAGTCTTATCATGTATTTTCTAGGTGCTGTTTGATCACATGGGGTGCTTGAAGAAGTACGAAACTGTGCAGGACATCTTGAAGGAGTTCTTTGATCTGCGGTTACATTATTACAGCCTGCGCAAGGAGTGGCTTGTGGGAATGCTGGGTGCAGAGTCCACCAAGCTGAACAACCAAGCTCGTTTCATCCTGGAGAAGATACAAGGAAAAATTACCATTGGTGAGTAAGCAGAAGTTAAAATTATTAGCAGTGGAGGAAGATATGGAAATTATTTAAGTATAGTAGGAAATACTTGCATGTAAGATTTTCATGACACTGACTTTCCTTTTTTTTCTTTTTCCTCCCCTCCTCTGTGTTTGTGTGCATCTTGTAGAGAACAGATCAAAAAGAGATTTGATTCAGATGTTGGTCCAGAGAGGTTATGAATCTGACCCAGTTAAAGCCTGGAAAGAAGCACAGGAAAAGGTAATAATCAAGATATAGTTGATGTTGTTACTGTTATAAATGATATTGCTTCTTTTCTAGTAGTCTAACTTAATTTATAACACACACATAGCACTTTAAAAGCATTATTCTTTACTCCTTATTGGCTCCCATTAAAAAAACCCAAAAACATTAAGCTTACCCGAAAATAAAGTCACGTAATACTGGTATTGTATATGCTTAGACGGAAACTAGGTAGTACAAGTCTGAAAAATGAGATTGCAGAGGACTGAATTTCTTAATGTACCCAAATCAAAACTGGCAACTTGATTTCTGATTGGCTGATACAGAAAGTGCAGCATCAGTTACCCCACACATACAACTACTTACTAAATGTAATTATTTCTACATAACTTATTAATTGCTTTTCTGTAAAGAAACATGGATATTATAAAGCTATGAGTTTTAAATTTACTGTAGTAAATTTAATAATGACCTTGACGTATATTTGCTTATGCTTTTTTAAAACCAACCAGTTTTTATTGTTCCAAAAGGGAGATATGATGAGTTTAATTTCAAAGTTACATTGCTTTGGGCATTACTATGGGCAGATGGAACTGCTTTGAAAAGCAGCTTTGAATTTCTGTCATTCACCCTTTTTCCGTGTCTTTGGCACTGTTTTAGCTATTTGATTTAATTTCACATTTGTTTTTTTTAATACTGTATTTTAACTCTATGGAATGATTTCTAATTTAAAACAGAACTGTTATTTAGGGAAATTTTGATCTACTTTCAAACCCCAGTTTGCACAGCTGGGGCTTTGATACCTTGAAGATTGATAAATCTTCAAGGAATGGGTATCCATGAGTACCCAAAGGACAAAGGTCTCAGCCCTGAGAGACAAGTGGGGCGGCACCAATATCTGCAGCCAGCAGCATACAAGGCTCTAGCAGAGGTTCAACTTGTTTTCTTAAATTAAATTATTAAATAATCAGCTCTAGAAGGTCACAGGAACACAGCCTTTTGGAAAGGTCCAGAAAATGTTCAGGTTATTGAATCTGTGAGGGCACACCTTGCTACTCTGTGGAGGTGCTTTGGAGTAGTGTCACAGATCATGCACAGAGCTAAGATCACTAATACCTGTAATTGGGAATATTTCACCTCAGGCAGCAGAAGAGGAAGACTCCCAGAATGCAAATGATGATGCTTCCTCTGCTTCTGGTCCAGCCTCTGGCCCTGACTTCAACTACATTTTGAACATGTCCCTGTGGTCACTCACAAAAGAGAAGGTGGAAGAGTTGATCAAGCAGAGAGATTCCAAGGTTGGTACACCTGGAAGGCTTGTTCTGAAACGGCACAGGAATTGCTGATGTGCCTCTGGGGAATGTTCAGTCTTCAGTGGCATTTGCTTTAGTTGTACTTACAGTCTCTATACTACTTTCATGTTTTAGGAGAGAGAACTAAATGATCTTAAAAGGAAATCTCCTTCAGACCTCTGGAAAGAAGATCTAGCAGCCTTTGTTGAAGAGCTTGAAGTATGTTTTACTTTATATATATTTCTAAAACATGAAATTCATATTAATTTAATTAAAAATGCTAACTAATAAAGTTATTAAAATTTAAGAAAAATAATTAGCGAATACGACAATTTTAATCAAAAGCAAATACATTTCACAATATAATGGTAACTGGGAAATCAGTATGGGATATCTGTGTTCTCAGTAGTGTTTCTCAGGGATTGTTTCTTGAATCTACGCAGTTCAGTGTTTTTTCCAAGTCAGTGATATTAAAAGAAAAATAACCAGGAGAAAATTAGTTTTCAAATGACACAAAAACCTGCGAGTAGTAACTGGGAATGGTAAAAATTATAATAGTTCTACATGATCTAATTTTTTGTAAAGCAGTAAGGATTACCAAATTCAAAACTGTACATTCAGGAATGAAGTGTGTAGACTATAAATACTGTATGAGGGGTTCTTAGCTTGCCTTATTTGTAATTCTGGAAAAAAGATCAAGTCCCTTTGGTGAATAACCTGCTGAACCTCAGTTTTCCATGTTGTCTGAAAACGGCTGGTGCAATCTTTTGAAGCGACACAGTTCAAAACTAAATGTGTAAATTAAAGGCCGAAATAATGGAAATTTACAACAGAACCAGACACAAACTTGTGAAATAGAAACTTGATAGAAGAAAGATTTTTCAGTGTAGCAGCGTCCAAAAGTTTGAATTTATCCTTAAATGAAAGTGTCATTTTTAGCTCTACAGGGTAATGAATTTACCAAGATTAAGTGGACACTGTTCCAGAACTGAAAATTGCATTCCAGTTCAAGTGAGAATTAAGGGGAGCCTTATGCTCCATGTAAAAAGGAGCTGAATCTTAAATAATCATGTTCCACTTTGTACTCATTAAAAAATAATGTGCTTCCCCCATCCTGGCTCCCCTTGTTTGTTAGAAAGTAGAAGCACAGGAAAGAGAAGACGTTCTGGCTGGCATGGTTGGTAAACCAATAAAAGGCAAAGTTGGGAAACCCAAGATGAAGAAACTCCAGCTGGAAGAGACCATGCCATCACCATTTGGCAGAAGAATAGTTCCACAGATTACATCTGCCATGAAAGCTGATGCCAGCAGGAAATTGCTGAAAAAGAAAAAGGTAAACCAAAATGACTGCTACAGTAAAATTATTTAACTGGTGTATTTTTCTATTTCAGTAACATAAATCCAAATTGCCAGATCATCACTGATGCTGTATTTGCACTGTTTTGCCGACCTAATGCTGAAGAAATTTGTACTGGATTTCTTTTACATTTGCAAACCTCTTGAGACTGCTTATTGTTTAGATGTTGTTATTGAGATAACTTCTTTCCAAGACTATTCAACAAATGTCAATATACTAGTCTACATTCATTTATTATCATCTGCAAAACTGTTCCAGTTCAATCTTGAAATATAAAGGTGTAAATTATTTTATTTTGTAATTTTAGGGTGAAACTGATTCTCTAGCAATAAAAATGGAATTTGATGAAGAGTTTGGTAGTGTGCCAGCTGAGGGTGGTGGGGATGACTCACTGAATGCATCAGCTGCAGCAGCTAAAACCCCTAAACCCAAGAGAGAGAAGAAAGAGCCTGGTAAGACCCTTGCACAGCCATAGTTCACCTTAGTTGAGTATTTACTGGGCATGAAATGCATTTTTAACACAGTGAGAGAAGGGAAATACAGCACAATAATCACTATTTCATCTGGTTTTCTTCCCTAAAATGAAATATTTGAAAGTACTCTGAAATTTCTTTGTTTATGCTACTTTCCTGGAGGTGATGGATCTTACATTTTCTACATTTCAGTTGTGGGGGTGGGGTGGGGTCTAAATCTTCAAATTAATATATAGAAAAATAGATTATTTTTACATAATGAGTCGCAATTCCTTTCAAACTGAAATGTCTAGTTTGTGTGCTCTTTGATTCTGAAGGACAGGGCAGTCACCTTCAGCCCCTCAGTCTGAGTAATGGTATTGATTGTAGAACTTGATTAAATAAATGTATTTTTCTATTGACGTATTCAGTCATTCCAACTTTCAGAAAGTTGTGGGTGCTATGGCTTGGCAGATGACCATTGTTCACTTCCCCACTTCCTCTGCTAGTGGGAATTTATTATTGCTGTTTGAGAAATACACAGTAACAGGGAGACAGCAACAAAAAAAGAAAGCTGGAGACAGAAGAGAAGGTATGAGGGGGTTTATTTTTTCAGAAGAAAGGAAAAAAAGTGGTTACACAAATAATTATTCTGAGATAAGATCTGGTTTTAATTATTCAGGGGATTATCCAGCCTGAGTAGATTTACTGAGTACAGTTATGACTGACTTGTCTATGTGCAGCTCAAATCTCCCACAGCCACTGTTGATCCAGGGCTTGACCTGAGCTTGCCCTGCAATTAACAGACCACATTTTTACCCCCTCCCCACAATAGGATAACCTCTGCTTCCTATGTTTGTTGTATTTGTCCAATAACTGTTTCTGATCATGTTCCCTGAATAATGGAAAACTGCACATTCTTTTCATGGTAAACTCTAGCAACCTTTAAAGAAACACAAATTTAATGGCAAAACATAAAATTAGAGACTTTGTTTTTCAGTCATAAAACAAATTTCTTTGGCAGCAGCTGGTCAGGTTCTGTGTGAAATAATTTCATGTTAAATCTTCCTTCAGGGAGGAGAAGAAAATTTACAGCATTTAAAGGAGAACTTCTTAAGATGAAAATTTATGCTAAATTTTTTAACAATTAGAAATGATGAAAATATTTTTTAACCTGACTGTAGTAAATGCTTTTACTTTTGGCAGGTGCCAGGGTAAGAAGGACACCATCATCTACAAAATCCAGTGCAAAAAAAGTGAAGAAACGAAACCCGTGGTCAGATGATGAATCCAAGTCTGAAAGTGATTTAGAAGAAAACGAGCCTGTGATTATTCCAAGAGACTCTCTGCTTAGGAGAGCTGCAGGTACTCAAGATTTTGTGAATTGTGTATTGTGACTTAAAGTTTCAACTGCAAAGCCACATTTTCCTTTGACCATAGGATTTCCTTTAGGACTTTATTGCCTACAGGTATCTTGCATTATATTTTCTTCACTGTGTGAAGAATACTCTTAATGGCAAGATCAGGAATTTCTTATGAAAGATTTTGTAATTTGGACCAGAAATCTTGTCCCCTATTCTAAACACTAGAATAGAAATTACACACTAAACTAGTGAATTATAGAAGAAACAGACAAGACAATATTCTTACAATCAAAAAAATTACTCTTATACAATTATACTGCCAAGTAAGGCCTAAGAGGCAAGTAAAAAGTTAACAAAAAAATTCTGAGCACTCCGTGAAAACCAAGACTGAAAGTTTGGAAAATATATAAGTATGTGATGGTTTAAAAAGCCCCTACATAGTTTCTTGAAAATTAGGAAGAATGCTGAAATGGTAGATCCAAGAAAGCTTCAATTTTAAGTGAAGGATTCTCATTCCTTAAAAGTACTGATGCACAATGTCTCCATAATACCCTTAGCTGAAGGTGTCTGGGCAAGCCACAAGAGATATTGGATGTTTGCTAACATCTAAATTATTTTTTATTCTTTTCAGCCCTTTATTCTTTCAGGCTGAAACAAATTTATTATCCACCACTCTTTCGTCTTGTGTATGCCGAGGCAGGGATTGTTAAATGACTTCCACTTTGATTTGTATATTTTCTGTATTATATAACATAAAGAGCTCTCCTGAATTGTGTACATGTGTGATTTTCTTAGCTGAGAGGCCCAAGTACACTTTTGACTTCTCAGAAGAAGAAGATGATGCTGACGATGATGATGATGCCAACAATAACAATGATTTGGATGAGCTCAAAGTAAAAGCCTCTCCAGTTACAAATGACAGAGAGGATGAATTTGTTCCCTCAGACAGTTTAGAAAAAGATGAGTATGACTTCTCCCCAGCCAAATCAAAGCCATCACCGGAGTAAGTACTGTAACTCAGGAGGATTTCTTTATTAGTATTTTTTTCAATGCAGAAGTGTCTGAACAAAACTGAGAAACATCAGCCTGTTATTGCTCCTCATGCACCATGAAAACTAAAATGTGGAGGAATTCAAGTGTATCTCAGCCCTGCAACTGACCTATGCAGGGATGACTCATGATTTAAAAGAATAATATAATAACATATAAAAATAGTTATGATACACTGTCTGTAATATCATCTGTTAAACTGTGGTTTTAAAGGTTCTGTTTTCTGTCTTGTGCTAGTCTGGTATAGAGAACTATTGAAAAAATGTAATTCTGTTAATTTTAAATGCCTGGAGTTCTTGACTGGATGTCAGTTTTAGGGGTTTGACTGCTACAGGCAGATACAAAAATGCTGGAAATGTTAAAACAGGATTTAAATTTTGTATGGATATTATGATGTCCACATACTTCAGTATGTGCTTGATGTAGCTCATATAATTCCCTTTTTTTTCCCCCTTGTAAGTAGAAAAATATCTCAAGCCAAGAAAAATCAAGATTTTGGGAACATCTTCTCTTTTCCATCTTACTCTCAGAAGACGGATGATGGTGAGATTGTTTTCACAGTTCCATTTAATTTTTATAGCAACTAATAATGGGATATTTTGGGGAGTGGTGCACACAAACTTCACAGAGTAGTTACAGGGGAAGGATGTCCACATCCTCCCTCTTTAAAAAGGGGAAAAGTGAAGGAAGTTCTGTTCTTTAGAGTAACAAAGCTTGTATCATAGGTGAGGAAGTCGCAGTACATCCATAGCTGTAGCATCACAAACACTTACTTGAGATTAATTTTCACTATAATTAATATTGATGTAATCAATATATGCTGTGTATGGAGCTTATTTTAAACTTACTTTGTGATTGTAGATACAACAAAATTGGACAGTGATGACGAGGATTCCGCTCCTGTTTTCTCATCATCTTTTGCCCCAAAACAAACAGAGAAAATTCTGAGTAAAACAGTAGCTGCTAAAAAGGGTATGTATAGAATTGGCCTGGAAGCCAGTCCTTTTATTTGAAAGTCATCATCTTCACCGTTGCATTGTCTCTTCAGTCTTCAAAGTGGGAACTGCTTTCATTTGTTTTGAGCTCAGTGAAATTCAGCAATAGGGTATTTGAACTCAATGAAATTCAGCAATAGGGTATGAACTTTCTCCAGCTCCTTAATAATATTTATTTGTTTCTTTCAACTAGCTACTTGCAACTTTAAGTCTTCCACATCTGGAGGTGGTGTTCAGCATTCATTGTTTAACTAATGGGAGGTTTTTAGCTTCAGGGGATAAGTAAAGTGGAGCATGACACCAGGTGATGTGGAATATTCCTTGGGTCAGTGGAAAGCAGCTATCTAGACTTTCCCCTCACAGCTCCTTGTGCACCCCTAGCCCCTCACTGGTGTGATGGTGTGAGAAGCAGAAAAGGCCTTGACTTTGTGTCAGCAGCAACAAAATATCCCTGCATAGTCAACATCAACTCCAGCCCAAATACAAAACACAGTCCCACACCAACAATGAAGAAAATTAACTCTGTCCCAGCCAAAGCCAGCATAGAAGTCTATCACTTTTTTCTCTTGAAACAGAGGATGAGAGACTCTCCTCAGACTTCAGAGGTATAAATTCTTTCAGTTATTAGTCAGCTTTTAGAACTGTCATCTTGAAACATTTTTTCCTTGTGATGCTGGGGCCTTTGTTTTTTAAAACTTCTTTTGACCAACTTGCAGGTGAGCTTAATATATTAATTCTTCTGTAAAAAGGTACTTCAAGGAGATTGACAGGAAAGCAGCCAGTTATAATAGTTGTAATAGTTATAATAGTTATAATAGTTAACTTATTCTCTTAAAAATGAGAAAAAAAAAATCTTGTTTTCTATATTAGCCACTAGTGAACTGCAGCATCTTTTCAGCCTTTCCCCCATTGCCTCCCAATTTCTAATCTATTTCTTGATGCATTGTGTCAATTTTAATTTGTTAACAGTTCAAATCAGTGAATGCCTGAATACTTCTCAAACACTTCCAGTTGTCTGTAGTACAGTAAATAAAGATTGCATACAGAAATAGCTGATCTCTAATAGAGTAGTCTTTTATATTGAATTTCTGTACTGCAGCAAATGGAAGAGTGAACTCTGTATGCAGTAGCCAGGCAATTTAACATTTAATCTTTCTCCTTCTCTTTTTTTGAGTGAATTGTCATTAGCCTAACTTGAAACCTTAAAATACAGTTGTGATCTGTTTCTGAGTTTCTGATTAACCTGTACACATGCAGAGAATAGGTATAAATTGTCTCTCTTCAAGCAAGAGTTAAATTTTTGCCTTCAGAGTATCTAACCTTAGGGGCACTCTCCTTCTCTGTGCATGGAGCTTGCTTTCACCAGTTTTCTTCTCTTCTGCCCAGATCAGACATGACCACACTTTCATCATCATAGCTGGACAGTTCTGTGATAACCCAGCAGGTTTAGTTCATTGGTCATCTGGTTACCCTTTTCATAGTCTCTTTGATTCTAAGTCCATCTTCATGGACTTGGCAGCCGCCTCCTTAGAACCCATTTTCTGGAAATGTAATATTCCACCCACTCACCCTCACACTGAGAGTGCTTATTATGTGTGGTTGAAACAATTGTTCTGGAGTTGTTTGATTTTCTGTGACTTCAGACTGCGATGAATTTGGGATGATATCTCTTGACCTCTGCTGTTCACTACAGAGGATCAAGAGACAGCTGAACTTTTCCTTGACTATTTGAGCTGTCTGTGGTTTTAGGGCTTTATAGTAAAGCCTAAGGGAAATTTGAAAAGCAGGCTAACTCTTGATAAGCAGCTGCTCAGCTTGAACAGCTTTGAACAGCCCAGCAGCTGAGATTCTAGCAGTGAGATGTACTCTTTGCATCACCTGCAGGACTGATACCATACCTGGACTTCCTGCCAAACACTTGAGCTTCTTGAGAGCCTGTGCACATTGATTGTGCTGCACACTCTGTTGCCTGACATGCTACTGAGTGGAGAGCTTGGCTGAGCTGATTTGCCATCAAGCTGCTGTCAAGAGATCTTCACACTTGTGCAGCCATTAGGGGTGTAAGTTAAAGTGGCAGATGAGAATCCCCCTATATTTAGTGCAGAGGGAAGTCCGTGTTCTGGACTATTCCATTAGCTACCAGGTAACAGCTAGGAAGTTTGCTGTCCCTTGGACAGACTTCACAGCAGTTACCCAGTGATACCAGGCTCTGTTTCCAGGGAAGAACAAATCCACTGTCTCTGGCAATGTGTCGTACCTCTCTTTCTGCAGTTCAAGGCATGATAACTAAAATGCTTGTGGAGACACTCTCTTGTTCTCCAGACACATTCCCCTTATGATCCTGTAAATGAAATTTGAGCTCTCACAAATGTCCACATTCCTGGTACCTGGAGTGTTTGTACACGTGTCTGAGGCATCTATGGCTGACAGAGGCTAGGTCAGGTGTGTCTCTGAGGTTTCTGCAAGACTCGCTCATCTGTAAGCCTACAGAACACATGATCTGATGATCTTAAGGGTCTTCTCTGACCTAAATGGTTCCATGATTCTATCCCATGACACCCACTGTGGGAACATTCCAGTGACCATCTTAAAGACAGCCACATTAGTTGTGTAGCACTAATTGAAATTCTCCAGGAATTACAGAAATTCCCCAGGAAATGCAGAAATTAAGTTCCTTTCCTCTCCTTTCAGCATTTTCCAGAGTTCCTTTTCACCAAGATTGACAGAAAGCAATGTCAGTGTTGACAGAGGCACTGTCTCCCAAACTCCTGCAGTAATCCTGGGGAAAGCTGTCCACAGTCATACCCACCCTGAAGGCAAAAATGTCACAAGAGCTGGATTTGTAAACACTGTAATGTATCCAGACATGGTCAGAGTATCCAACTTGGAAGACTTCTGTTGCTGCTTTAGCTACTAGTAACCTGTTTTGTACTCGAAAAGATGAAACAGTATTCAGCCAAGGCCCCTAGAATAGTACTGGGTGCACCAATCCTTCTCAGAGCAGGACTCAGGAAACCTCCTGTTTATTCCACACAGTTCCAGCATAAAAGCTGAAGTATGTTTTCCCCAAGTGCAGAAATCACTCATCTTGTTTTAATGTCTGCCATTTGTGCTTTAATTGGAGTATCTAGTACAATTTAATATGTCCAGCCAATTTTTGAATTTATTTAGTATCTTTTAACTTCCAACAGCAAAACTAGATGCACCCCCTAAGCCTAAAAGAGCTCCCAAGGCCAAGAAGGTGGAAACTGTGAACTCTGATTCAGATTCAGAATTTGGCATTCCAAAGAAGACGGCAGCACCCAAAGGTAGGAGTCACATGTGGGCTTTCTGGAGCACAGGGCTCACAATTATTGTAAGAACCACAATAATTGTGGTAAATTATGAGTACATTGATCACTGGTAGATTACTCAGCCTTTCCTGTGACAAATACAGTGTATTGACTTCTTGGCAAACCATGTCTAGACGTTTTATCTGACCTTCACTGTTGGGAATGCTTTTATTTAACAGCTGCACCCCCTACACACTGTCTTCCATTCTACATTCTACTGGATACCTCTAATTTTCTTTGATCTCAACTCCTTCCAAGCCAGTAAAATTCTGGTTGTAATTGTAGTAAGTAGTACTTTCTGGGTTTTTAAGACCATTTTTTGGTATCCCAGTTCTCTGAGTCCTCACAACACAGCACAGCAAACAGTGTAATTGGAGGAGTCTGTAAAGGATGTGCCAGTGTTGATGGTTGAAGTTAAAAGTAAATTTACTAAATAGTAAAGGTGAATTAATGCTGTGTAAACAGTGCAGAAGGTGACCAAGGACTTGTAGCTCTGCTTCAGTGTAGAAGTTATCTGATCTCATGAATTTTGTCCCTGTCTTGAACTGACAGGTTGAGCTGTCAGGGTAAATGGTGACTGTAGAACAAGTAGAAAAGATTTAAACTTAAGAAAATCAAAAATACCCTGTACTATACTGCTGTTGTGAAGAAGCTTGAGTAGTAAACTGGGTTTGAACTTAACATGTGGACATACTAAAGTAACTTCACTAGGGGGTTTTTCAGTTTGATGGAGTTTATTTTTTAAAAAAAGCAACAAAGTAACTCATAATCTCTGACCTAGGAAAAGGCAGAGGGGCAAAGAAAAGGAAAGCATCTGGTTCAGAAAATGAAGGTGAATACAACCCTGGGAAGAAAACACCCAAGTCCACACCAAGCAAGGTCAGTTCCATCTATGCTCTCTTCTTTTTGTAAAAAGAACCTCACAAATTCCTTTACATAAAAATTAAGTTCTCATTATAATTTGCTAATATGGTATTTGGGGCTGAGATGTCATTAGCAATCAGATGCTAGAGAGGTTTTTATTTAATTCTGAATATTAAAATGGCAAATGTACAAAGCATCACAACTGATTTGTCTTCTCTTTTCTAAAGAAATCCAAGAAGTCTGCTTTTGACCAGGATTCTGATGTGGAAATCTTCCAGTCAGGCTTTGCCTCTGAAACTGCCCCAAAGCCACGGACAGGCCGGGCTAGAAAAGAAGTGAAATATTTTGCAGAGTCTGATGAAGATGATGATTTTGATATGTTTAATTAAGTGCCCAAAGAGCACAAAAATGTTTTCCAACAAGTATCTTGTGTTGTCCTTTTGTCCCCTCTGTTGCAAACTTTTGTACATTTGACTTATTTTATGTGATAATGTAATTGATGGTTTTTATTATTGTGTGTAGGCATTTTAACATTTTGTTCTTACACCTACAGTTTTATGCTCTTTTTTACTCATTGAAATGTCATGTATTTGTCTGACTGGCTTGTAGAGATGTTCTAGACAGCTGTGCTAAAGCACATTTTAATTGTCATGGTTGCAAACAGCAAACCTGCTTTTTGAAATGAAGTTTAAACATTAAAAAATGGAAAACTACCGTGTGTGTGTGTGTATATATGTGTAGAAAATTTGGGCTAGAGGGACTACTTCTACACAATTTTTAAAATAAATATATTTTATTCTTTGCCAGGAGACTCCATGGAAAAAGGTAAACAGTATATGAACATAGAAAGCATTGTTAAACAATCTCAATGTACAAACAGAGCCAGTGAAAGTACATCACAGACTTGCTAGAATATATAAAAAAAAAAAAAAAATCCACTAGTGCTTTAAATGAAACCTAAGAAACTGACACTTTAAATCTGTTAACCATTCTACCACAGTTTTCACTCTGCTTCATGGTGATTTAACAAGGCCAAGAAGGCAGATTCTCTCCTTGTGTTTCTGGAAGTCCTAGCTGTACTTCCTTAGCACCTGGAAGGCTGGAAAGCCCAGCTGATTCCTGGCAGTTGATTCTTAAGGAAGTACCCTGGACTCCGCGATTCAAAAGCTGTGAGTCTGCTGGTTATCATCCCATGAAGTTTCCCTAATGGCTTGTGAACAAGTAAACAAAAACATGGTAACACTGAAAAGTGTTTCTGCCTTGGAGGCTATAGCATTGCTGTCAAAATGGAGCAGGTAATTGTGGAGCTAGGTTACCAGCCAGCTAAGAAACCACTTCTTTAAACTTTAAAGTGACATTAACAGTGGAACAAATGACATCTGAATAACTGATCTGGCAGTTAATGCTGATACTGATACCTCTTCTGCTGGGGCAGTGACGTTTTGTATACTTTTTACAAGGAGGGAGATGCAAACTGAGGGTAGCAGGGACAAGTTTTCATATTTCAACTAAATCAGACGGTCCTTTCAACTTCCTTCTCTGGATGTGTACAGTAGTCCATGTCCTGTGGTTGATGTCTTGATCATTTTAGGTATGAGAGACAAAAGGAAAGCACCAAACATCCAGTATGGAGAGTACAGCCATACATTTGTATGTACAAAGTCATCAGAAATGCAACCAGAATATAAAGACTGAGATCTGTCTTGTCACCATGCAATATTGAGTGTTCAGAGAAGAAAACAGAAGCTTAACTTTTTTTTTCTTTTTGCATGAAATGGCTGATTTAGAGTTTCAAAAGTTTGCATTTTCTAGTTTAAGAGTTTAAACAGCAAGGAGTATATATCGATACATATGAAAATTTCTTGGTCCTTGTTGAGTTTATCTATATCTATATACATATATAGATATATATTAAGTCCAGAAACTAAGCAGCAGTAAAAATGTTTTCTTGCTTTTCATCCCTGTACATAAGGTATTAGGAATGTCTGAAGTAGCTGGAAAATGTCTTAGTCCACCATAGGGGATTGACTGACACTGCTGTTATCCACTGAACTAGGTGAGATACTGGGACTGTTTTCTGCAGTATTTCCATTTGAGGTTGGTGTCAGTGGTTCATGTCCTTCAGAGTTCTCCAACATTTCCTGAATAAGAGGTGGCATGGATCCAGGAATTTCCATTTTCAATGTAATAACACGTTCTGCACCTTTAAAAAGAAAAACAAAATCCTTCCCATGAGCATGATTCATACAATTTCCTTTCTGTTAGCATTACAGGAGTAATTTCAGGATGTGTTTTGTTCATAGATTTGGCATCTCCTGCTACACTTCTTGCACACAAAAGTGTGTGAATGATCTGTTTCATGCAGTTCAAGGAGTTAGGTGAATACTCCTTAACCAAATTAATTCAAATCTATGACATAGCAACTGATATTTCAATACAGGTAAATTGGATGAGCTGCCTATTTTTAAAGGAGGACCTAAAATGGCATTAAATTATACTGAAAAATGAAATTAGGCTGTGATCATGTCAATGTCTTTTTAAACTGGAATAACATTTAGTCTTTATACTATACTGGTTCTGCAAAGAATGACAGAAATTCTGTCTGTATTAAATAGGTGAGGTAAATCCTGCAAGAGAACTGCAGTGGTCTAAGTCAAAATGTTTCCTTCCCATAGAGAAAACTGTGAAATAAGATGCAGAATTTAACAAACAATTACTTTATAAATAACACATTCCAGCCAAAAGGTACTTCTCTGGGGGGCAAGCTGCCTTCTGTATTCTTCAGGCATCTTGTCTTGTGCTAATGAACCACCAAAGTGTGCAGGAGCCTTGAGAAGTGCTCAGCTCTGCCTTGGCTGAGACTCTTTGAGCTGGGCTTGTCATGAGCACCAGGCATTTGTCTGCAGAGGGGGCTCTGCAGGTGAGTGCACACAAAATTATTGCATCAGTCCTGACCACTCAGACTGGGAGCCCACAACTGGTTTAGGGAGGGAAAAAACCCAACACAAAGTCTCAGTGTGTGGTCAGCGGGTGGGGACACAGCACGCACACAGCAGCCAAGGCCCTGCTGACACTGGGCAGGCAGCCTGAGGGAACTGTGTATCAGGGAATTTACATCCATTAACCTCAGCATTCCTGTTGCTCAGGATTCCTGATCATAAAATTGGAGTTCAATTAAAGAGGAACCAGTGGTTTTTTAACAACAAGAACAAAAAAAAAATTTACAGAGAAAATAGTTTGGTTATTGAGAAACCATTCCAGAAGAGTGATGCTTTGGAAATACTCTGCTTATCCATGCTGCTGCAGTGGGCATGCTGGAAAGAGCATTACACACCCCAAGCTGGAAGGGAGCATTTAAGTGTTTATGCCTTACTTGAGGAGCACCAAAAAAATAATCTACAAAGGCAATGATTGACTTTCCAAGTGAATGCTGATTTAAGAGTCACTTAAATAACTGTAATGGAAAAGATATTAATGCAGAATGATGCTGAGAGGTTCTCCAAAAACCAATGATTGTCAGAGCTGTGCTGATGAACTCAATTTGGCCATGTTAAACACCTGCTTTCCACTGTTATGTCAGGTGCAGTGAAGTGTTTGTGTGGTCATTCAGTGCCGAGCCAGCACAATTTTTCAAGTTTTGCAAACGTACGACTTAATCAGGGGATAGGAGAACTTAGAAGATGAGAACTCAGAATTGTCTTGCTTCAGTCCCACAAACACTTCACCCTTTAGTTACAATACCTCTAATGCCAAAGCAGACACTCTCAGTGTTTCAGATTAATGCTTTCTTTGGTGTTTGCTTTCAGGGATCAGGTACCATCCAAAGTCATTATCGTCTAACGTACATCTTTTAAAACGAAACTTAAGACATGCCCAGCCCTCCAGGACATCACCATCCTTTGGTATGATTTAGTTCTACTATGAAACATTAATGATATAATTAGAGTTAAATGCTTATGTCAGAATGAAAAGAAGCCTTTCTTGTGAATTGAATATAAGGAGTTGTGTTCTTGAGGAGCAGGAAGGCACTGGCAAAGAAGGAGGGAAGTGGAAATGGATTTCCCATGAGTACAAACACCAGAACAAAAGGGCTCCCCTAACTGCTTTTATAGCTCAATACTGCTCTAAGTTTATTTTGTAGATTCGGTTGGATGGAGCTTGTTTTACTTTAGGGTAAACTGCAAGCTTTAGATAACCTGGTAAAGTGGTTCCTTTTTAGGATACTTTTCTTCTAGCTCTGGTGTTTCCCTTCCAAGTTACTTCTTTTGATTCTAATCAATCCAATTAAATTGCTCGCTTCTTTTTTATAAAGATAGCTATAACTGAATCTTTTAACTTGGATTTTATATTGTTTGAAGTGGAGCAGTTAAGTTTAAATTTAAACAAGCATCTTTAGTTGAGCGAATTAACTGCTGGGGATTTTTTTCCCCCGAGTCTTCCACCAAACCATGTCAAATGAAATCAGTAATTTTCCCAAAAGCACAGATCCAACCTACACAGGTACCTGTACATACAAGCTTGTGTGCCTGCTCATCTATCAGGGGTAGGAAATCTGTTGCTGAGTAAGCAGAGTAAGAAGGTGAAATTGCATTAGCCACCAGAAGAAACTGCATCAGCCACCATAAGAATAAGAATAGAGAAATACTCTCTATTTTCAGACTGGTACATTGGGGAACCTCTTCTGATCAAATGAAAGTATTCAGCTACCCCTGTGCTTTAGAGAAGAATGTGTGACAGTGCTTAGACTATGAATTGCACAGGATCAATCCAGCACATACAAGACTGCATAAAATGTTAAAACTGATCTGTGTTTTAGGTATGGTTAGTTTGGATTAGAGGGGCTGAATCTCCAAAGTGCTGGATCAAATCAGTTCTGAATCTCCAATACCTCAGACCATAGTTTAGGGGAATTTTGGTTGCACAAGTGTTTTCTGCAGTCTGTAACCAGACTTTTTTAAAAAGCCAGTGGTGATACAAAGCATGTGCACCATGCATGTTTAAAGCAAAACCAATTTCAAGGCAGGAATTGCATAAAGAAGCTGGAAAGAACAACCCAGGTGTCTAGGCCAGTTCCTCTGAAATGCAACACTGCCACTCCTGCTGAGCTATTAGGAGAAACTGTACCTTTTGCACTGATGCTACGAAGATCCGTGATTTTCATTAAGATCTTTGGGAACATATGAGGCTTGTTGGGTCGTCTCTTTCGGATATAAATTTTCAGTGCTTCAAGCAAGGGTTCCTGAAGCTTATCCACTTTCATTGGTTCTTCAAGGTCCTGGCGATCTGTAGAAAAGTATCATATAATTTATATGATTTTATATATTTATTTTTTAAAATAAACTACAAATCACAGAATCCCCTCTGTGTTCTAGATTAAAATTCCATGAATTTTGTTCTCCACTAAACAATGCACACTCTGTAGTGAGCATTCCATAGGAAGAGGATAAACCACAACTTCCTGAAACTTGGATTAATTTTTTAACTTGGTGACTGGAAAGGTTTGTCATGTGGATGGTCAAGAATTACCAGTTTGCTCTTGCATCTCCCTCTTCAAGAGGAAAACACCTTGCTGCAAACAATATTTTGGAATTAATTATATATATGTCACTGATAGGCAACCCAGGTACTCATAGAGGTTACAGCTATTTTTTGTTACCACTAGTACAGTAAAACGAGTTACCATCAGGGATCAGCAGATGGCAGTGCTGGCTTG